TGCTCATCTCCTATATTTGTTTGTTTGTTTGTTTGAAGTTTGTTTCTGAGAAGTATTTATGCCCTGCTTTTTAAAAAAAATTCTCAGTTAGAAGATACTACTTTTAAGATATTAATTCAACAGATGATAAATAAAATAAAATAAATATTTGCTCATCTCCTATATTTGTTTGTTTGTTTGTTTGAAGTTTGTTTCTGAGAAGTATTTATGCCCTGCTTTTTAAAAAAAATTCTCAGTTAGAAGATACTACTTTTAAGATATTAATTCAACAGATGGGAGCCCATCTTGGCTAGGCATAAATGCTGGATAGAAAAAGCAGAGACAATGCAGCAGTTGACTGAATGGTGACTATTGAAGAAGCCATCTGATGAACTTGGTGTTCAGCTAGAACATCATCTCCCACTTCCTTCTTCCAAGCAGCAAAAAGCTGCTCTGAAGCTTTAGATACAAAATGGGCATCCGCCAGTCTGTATCTAGAATGATGCTACCAGCTCTTCTGTGGAGCTCTCTGGGCACTGAAAGGAAACTGCATTCTGACAGTCTTATTAGTTCTTCCAAGTAAATTCTATATGGAGAGTCATGAATGTTAGCAAGGTCACTGAGTGACCTGCTAAGCATGCATAGGATTATTCCATAGTGGTTCTGCTCATTAAGATTGGGGGAGGAACCCCATGTTGAAACTAAACCACTACTTCCCTTGTTTTTTTTTTTAAGTCACCAGGATGTACAAAAACAATCTAAAGAGAAATTGCTTCTTGATCCTTTCAATTCCAAAATTTCTCTTTTATTAAATGACACTTATTAGGTAACACTTTTACTTTACTCTTTTAAGCTCTCTTCCAAATGCTTTGAGACTTGAGCTCTGCATATGAGAGACAAAACATAACAAAAACTTACCAACATCCATGGCAGTTTCCATAAAGCTCTTCTGTCTTGATGCAAATTCAGCCAACAACTTTTGTTGTCTTTCCCTGGCTTTCTGTCGCCTAGATGAAGCAGAAGAAAGTGAACAGTCATAAACTAGTAGCCTTGTTACTTATTTCTAAGATTTTTTTTAAAAAAAGGTTGGTAGACCACAGAAAGCTGTCAAATCTAAGTCCATGCTTCAAATCTAAGAAGTCCATGCTTCTTGTGGCTCTCTAGAGTGGGGAAAGGACTTGAAAAATATTGGGTGACTGGGAGCTTTCCAAAGTGAACATGTCTACTAGCTATCATCTGTAATTGCTCTCCTGAATACCTTCAGGCTCCCTCTGGACTCAGACACTTTCTTAGGAATTAAACTTGAATGAGCCAAAAGGAAGGAAGGAGCTGATTGCTAGGAGGGAAAATAGGTATGCCCAGACATGGCAGAGAAGGGGGAAGCAGAAGGCTGGGGTTGGGGAGTACGGTTATGAACCAACAAAGAGGAAGAAGGGATAAACAGGAGAAGCAGAGAGATGGAGCTGGGGGGGGGGCAGAATTCAGGACTGGGAAAAGGAGGATTTCAGGATGACCAAAAGTTCTGGGGAAGTTTGTTAACCTCATAGGGTGGGGGTGGGGAGGCAGATCTAGGACTAGGTTTCAGCTTAAAATGTACAGAGAACAAACTGGGGGTCTGAAGAACTGGCTGAGATTGCACACAAGAGAATCTCCTATGTGTGAAAGATAGCAAACAAATTAGACACTGCTTATAGTTTATGTATAGAAGAAAATACCATTTTTATATAGTGGAGGTGCAATAAATTAGACCAAAATAAGTTCAGTAGCAAAGTGGTCAAAGAATAAGAATGGAAGCAGACTTTCAGGATGGGAAATAGGGCTCAACTCTAGGCTCACATAAGAATGGAAGCAGACTTTCAGGATGGAAAATAGGGCTCAACTCTAGGCTCACATAAAGGTGTTTCGTGTCTAGTCGCGCTGGCCACGTGACCACGGAAACTGTCTACGGACAAATGCTGGCTCTACAGCTTGGAAACGGGAATGAGCACTGCCCCCTAGAGTTGGACACGACTGGACTAAATGACCCTTACCTAGGCTCAAGACTCTTCTCTCCATTCCTGAATTTATATATGTTTTGTGACAGGACCTGTGATATCTTCTCGAAATCAAAGCAAAACTACAAGAGTTTATTTAGATTTCCAGTCAATTGCTCCATTTCCCTGTAATGGAGTTACTTTAAAAGAAAATCGTATAACTACTGCACTCAATTCAAGAACTAATTGTCTAGATCTTCTTTAAGGACGCGAAAAAATTAGTTTCTGTAATTTTAGCATCCCCTGCAATGCATCACCACATATATGACAAACACAAATGGGTATGCAGTTAAGCACATGTTACTCTCATATATACACAAACACACATACTCTCTCACACACGCATACAGAGAGAGGGGGGGAGAGGGGGAGAGAGAGCATCAAGAATAGGAGATAGCTCTCATAAGAACACTGTTTCCCCAGGGAATCTCTTTCTGAGATGCTTTTGCTAAATAGGCTAACTGTAAATAGAGACCCTTAATAAGAAGACATAAACAAACTGACAGATTCAGTACAGCTCAGTAATTTTCTGCAATGGCCCAAGGGGTTCCACAGAAAGACTGAAAAATATTGCAAAGCAGTTCTGCTCAGTTCTTCTTTAGCTCTGTGCCTTAGTTTCTATGGCAACAGCTTATGCATGTGATGCCAAGTTTGTCTTTGTAAGATGAAGAAAACAGAAAATAGGTCATCACAGAGTGCCTGTAGCCTGTTCAGTCTTCATTATGGTAAAGTTGAACTTTAATTCCATTCAAACTACAGTAAGACCATGCAAAATGGCTTAATTTAAAGGCATATTCACTTGGGCCTTCTGCAATGTGATGTTTGCTGAGTTTGCCACTCCCTTTTCTGTCCTCTGCTGTCAAAAATTTTGCAAGCATCATTCCTGCCCCTATTTCCAAAGTTAACACTGCGAGCACTCTTTTTTTATATACTCAAAATCACCTAAACCATACACAAGCAGGAAGTATCAGCTGGTTTGCACAGGCTCCAAGCATTCCAGAAATACAAAATATATTTAGGAGAGGGGGGGAAAACACAAAACCCAGAGGTAGAGATTCCTACAAACAGCCTGACCATGCTCAGTGGCTATGTTATGCTGATTACTCTGCTGACGACCTAGGGGCACACAGAAACTAGGGACAGGATTCACAGTCCAGAAATCTACTGGTGTCTGAGTAAGGTTTGCATAACTGGCTGCATAACCAGGATGTGTGCCGCTAGCTCATCGATTAGCAGGAACTATCCACAAAAATTTACGCAAAACTTACACGAATGCCAATTAGGTTCTGGCCACTGGAATTATGAACATTCCAGGCTGAAAATATTTTTTTGCAAGTCTACTTCTCCCTCATTATTTAAAAGACACACAAAGCGTTGTGTTTTTGTGACATTAGGGCTGGTATAGCACAGCTCCCTGCCACACCAAGAATGATCTTTTAGAAGCCTTGCAACAGATTGGGGAGGCGGAGGGCACTGCTTGCTTCTTATCTCCTCTGTACTAGCACTGTCCTTCAAGGAAGCAATGCTGGCTCTCACAGGAATCCTAACCCAGTCCTTTCAATGTTGTCTCTACAGAGAAGAAAAGAACTACACAGCAACGCGTTCCATTTTGGAAAAGGACACCTGGTTGCCACCACATGGCTATCTAATGAAATGACACGGAGAATTTAAAAATCCAGCCCATGCAGGTGGAGGGTAGCTACTTCCTTGACAAAGAGTGGAATTTTTCTTCCCAATCTGAAGCCCAGAATGGGTGAGCAGTCCTAGTGGGGATGGCAGCGGGGCGGATGCTGAATGGGGTGTTGAATGACTGATGACTCACGGTGGGGAGAGATGTGCTGCTGGAGGTGGAACGTGAAACTTTCGCCTCTGACTTGACTCTACAGACCCCCATTTTTGAAAGGTATCTTTAACAAAGGAACCTTGCAAGCACATCTGGCCATGATTTTGGGAACGCCTATGCATTTTCTGCACCATCCACAGACCCACAGAAGTTGGTGCCCAGCATGAAGAAGGCCTTTACAGGTCAAAAGCTGGCCTTATGTTTGTGACTGTTTTAGCCATCTAATAAAGTCACCACCCACTGTAGCCCTCGGGTTGTAAGGAACACAGAGGGGCCCCCATCCTTATTTTTGGATGGATTTTGGAAGATTTTTTGACATTGAAGTCATAAAGTACATAGAATTTGAGTTCTTTCTTGGCGTAGATATATAGTTCTCCCTCATCAGAGAAATGCCTATGAAAAATATTCCTAAACACTAGAAGTGACAACAATTAAAATTTCGCTGTTTGAGCAAGCCTTCCATTTCCATCTAAATTACCCTTTCTAATACAAGTCATTTGCCATAAATCACTTTTGAGGTGCTCACTTTCTAAAACTCAGTGGCTTGGTTCCAGTAGTAGTCCAAGCCGTAACCACCAAGAGACTGACCGCTTATGGCCTGACATTTAAGAAAGTTGCTCAAACGTTCCGAATTCAGCCTGCATCAATACCATTCAAACAAAATATAAATTCTTCAACTCTCAACTTATATGTGACATATCAGAGAGTAAGTATACCAAGGAAAGACCTGATATCGAATACACTATATGAGTGTGTAAGAAGTACTATCACACACATAAAAACATAAAAAAGATGTCAATATAGAGCAGAACAGGGCGAAGTCAGAGAGAACATTACTACACATAAGGCAAACTGTACCTCCAGAAACCTAGCAAGCCTCAAAAATAGATAAATCCCAACATCCAAAATGCATTTACAGGTTCTGACGTCCAAAGCTGCAATCAGATGCACCCAAGTTGACCCACTGACTCAAGTTACTCTACAGGTGAAATGGTATCATAAGAACAGTTATCCTTGAAAAATAAACAACGTATGTGACAAGGAAACTTAGGTATTATAGATGATTCTGTGCAGCTACTGTACTGAGCATACACACAAGCAGTATGGCTTAGGGAAGAATAATATATTCTAATAGATTGAAGATGCACATCCATGTGCACATAACCTTGTATGACTGAAGGGGGAAGTGTGAGATATTTCCTCTCAAGACACAGGCAAAGATTCTCAAGAAATCTTTTATCAAGAGGGACTCCTTTGTTTACATCCAGATTAGCTTGATGATCAGCCTACAGCCAAGCAGAACCCTTCATTCATATATGTTGCAAATGCATACAGAATTCCTTTGCAGAACAAATGTCTCTATCAGATGTAGAAGATTTTTAATGTAAGACCACAACAACCAAAAACTCTGATAGCATCAAGCAGTGAAAGAATCCCCATCCTCTCCACAACTTTACCGTTCCTCTTTATCCAAGGTTTTCTTCTCTGCTGGACTAATCTTTTTAGGTGGTACAGGCGGAGTCACTTTTCTGCATATTTCCTCAATGATATGTTTATTTAATCGGCTCTGAAGTGCAGCTTTCAATAAAATCCTTTCTATGGCTGTCATTCCATCCCCATGGAAATACTTGGGGTTTTCGTGTTGAATTAAAGTTTCCATGTCATCCAGCCAAGGAGGATAGTAAGAGTTTTGCTTTCCTGACAGTTTATGGTGAAGTTTAATTAGCAGAGACAATATGCTTTCTTTGACTTCCAAGATGGCAGTTGTTAGCTGAGGAGTTGCACCTGGTGCAGACCATTTCATTGAAGTCTTTGGCCGAACTGCCTGACTGGCTTCAGTAGCATTCCGATTAATGATTTCTTGAAATTTCTTCCGACGTTCTGCAACCAAACTGAACACCTGTGCTGTCCCTGAATTCTTAAAAAATATATAAAAATTGCATTAGGTGCAATAACAAGTAGACATTTGCAGAAAATTAAACCATAGGTAGAAAACGCCCTTCCTCATGCTGAAAATAATTCCTATTTACCTCCTGTTTAACTGCAGAGAAGAAAGTTAAGTTGCCTGTCACTAGGCAAAAGTATTTCTAAATGCACTTCATGTTCTCTGGCCAGTGCAAACAGGTTAGATGATCAGCTGCTTAATGAGGTAACAAATTAGAGCAGAACACAGGATTAAATGCTCCTCTCCAGCGCTTCTCTCACAGCACCATCACCCCATTGTGAAACATTATATGCTGTTCAGATAGCAGGTGCCTTTAAACAAAGCCACTCAGCCACAATGAGCTTTAATCATAGTTCATGAAGCAGTAGGATTCTGCTTACAGAGAATCTAAACATGGCTTGTCGTTTTGCTTCCCACCCCAATGAATACCTAGATGCTAAGCCAATACAATGATGCCCCACTAGACGGTTACCCCACTTGATGACGAATCCGCTGTACAATGAGTTTTTTGCAATCGCTATAGTGATCGCAAAACGATGATTCAAAGGGTGGTTTTTTTCGCTTTACGACAACTGGTTCCCTGCTTCGGGAACCGATTTTTCACTTAACGACAATTCAAAACAACTGATCGGTAGGTCACAAAATGGCTCCCCACCGTCTTCAGGATGGATTCTTCGCAAGACAGGGACCGCAAAATGGCTGCCGTATGAAGGATTTTCGCTGCACAAGCAAGTATTTCCCCCACTGGAATGCATTGACTGGTTTTCAATGCATTTCAATGGGGTTTTTTTTTCACTTGACGACAATTTCACTCTACAGCGATTTTGCTGGAACGGATTATCGTCGTCAAGCGGGGCACCACTGTATACTGAAGTGTTCTGCAAGAGCCTTTGCCATTGACTGGCCCAACTATCTCTCTAACTCTTGCCCAGTGCCTAGTTTGCACCAGAAAGAATTAACCCATTAAATAAGATTAAATAAGATTCCATCTTATTTAGCTCTTCCACTCTGAGCAAAGTCCTGACAAAAACACAGTCCTCACACTTCTCTTTGTTAATCCCTTCTGTCACAGCTTTTAAATGATTTGAGCTCAAGAGAGTTGATGGACTGCCTTCATCAGTATCAAACCTGTCTACAGCTTGAGGTTGCATCTGAAACGTTTTTTGTTTGTACATCTCCAAAAGAAACTAGGCTGAAAAGGGTGTTTGTCAGGACCATTCTCTGCAGGTCTTCTGGGAAGCTCAAAAGAGTCCCTTGTTTCCATTGACTCTCTCTTAGATTACAGTGTCAGTCTGAGGGATTTAGTTCCACCCATTATGTTTGTGGACTGAATTTTAGCTGTTTTATCTTGTATTCAGTATTATTGTTGTTGCTGTTGTTGTTCTTCTCTAACTACTGAATTTATAAAAACCTGCTTGGCTTTTGCTGTTTTAGTGTCATTCTGTTTCTTTTACAAAATATACCACCTTCAGAGGTTTCCACCCATAAAGTTGGCCTACAAATAACTTTAATTGTCTGGACAGAGCAAAGGTATGATTTTAACATACAGCGTTCTTTAAATGCGGGTAAAAGAACCTGTGGACTTTCCTATTTTTTTCCTTTTCTAAAACTGTCTTGGAGCTAATGCAGCTGGCCATGCCATTGTTGAGGCAAATGGGGAATGGAGCCTTCTGACACAACAGAGACAGAAGGGATGCAGAGGTCTGTAAAAGCACAGCATTGCTCCAGGAAACCCTAAACAACATAAAACATCTAGCAGTCATCCGAATACAAGAATTCCATTTTATGTACATTTTATTATGTTTCACAAATGCAACTCCTGGCCACCCTGTCTTTTAAAGCACATACAACCAAATTAGGATGTGTGCCTTTCATTTATCTTTCTTTTTTAACATAGCCTCGATGGGAATAAAATACACAAGAGTGCACAGTCAATTTAATGGAAGAAAATGAGGCATGGTTAGGCTCTTCTTCATTCCTGCACTACAGAAGGTGGCAACCCCATTATGAATTGGCTATAAATCATTTAAACAAGTTAATTATGTGTTCACAAAGATGAATCAACTAACCATTTATCATTCCATATAATTTTTTAACAAAATGGACAGGCTGAGCTTTCTGAGAATAGGATAGTTAAAGAGCAGCATTATTAAAGGTTAGCGGGAACCGCAGCAGAAATTCACACAAATTCACACAAGGCAAGCCAGTATTTATACCAGTAACACGCAAGCAAAGTTAACTTTGCAGATGGCACGAGGAATTTAGAACCAAATATAATATTATTGAGTTCTAGGCCAGCACAACTTTTGAAACAAACATTAGAAATCTGCAAAAAAAAGGGAGTTTTTCAGCAATATCCTTGAAAAGCATGTGGGATTGTACTAAAGTTGGGATTAGCACAACAAAAGCCATATTGTCTGTAGAAAGAAAAGTATACACAGATCTACCTCTCTCTGAAGTCCTTTAGACCGCCTTGGATTCTGGTGAGTTGGAGGGAAAAGGAGGGTATTAAAAACCCTACCAAACATGGCATTCTCTACCATTATCTACCATAAAGGCAAAAAGCCTTAATTACCGTACTTAAAGAGATCTGGAATCATTAAAACCAAAACTTTTACCTGAGAAACTCCCGAACCATCAGAGCTTGTACTTGCAGGTGGTTCTCTCTTCACCTCTGGAGCTGTCTCTGGTACTCTTACACGCACATAGTTTATAAAGTGTCGCATGTTAGATAACAAGTTATTCCCTGGAAACCAACTATCATGGCAGCGTTCTTGACTTCCCACAGAATCCTGGTACACCAGACATTACAAAGACACAGGGAGAGAAATCAACATACTCAAGTGAGGTCACACAAATGATGCATTCAGGATACAGCTGAACTAGAAGTTAACATATTCACTTTAACACATCAAAAATGTATAATAAAAGCATTTTTATTTTAAACATTTAATCTGAACTAATAATAAGAATTACAAAACAGTTCTTGGAATATTTACTTGAGTGCAAATCCCACTGTGTTCAAACAGCATAAAATATTAATACTTACTTCTTCATCAGCATCTTGTTCAGAGGAATTTTCCAGTCCCAATTCAATCAAATATAAAACCATGCAAAGGACATGTTCTGATAGATTTTGATGATCCATTAATATCTAAAAAGAAAGTAAACATTACTTCCAATTTTTCTCTTCTAAGTGTTTCTGTTTTAGATTTCAGGGAACAAAACAAGGAAATATATGATGTTTGCTTAAGTTATCTTAATACCATCTAGTTTTAAGTAACAAAAGATTTCTGAACAGAAAGCAACTACAGCTGCTTATCAACTACTGCTTAAAAAAATAAAGAGGCAGAAATTCTCATTCTGAATTCAATAACAAATACCTCCCCCAGCAAACCTTTCCTATTATAACAATATGTAATGTTTTACATTATACACACAAAACAATCATAACATGAGGTTTTAACCATTTCCAATTGACTTGTCCAACTGGGTCAACTGCTGACAGCTGAAAAGGGAAACTGTATAAGACGGTATAACAAAGCAGGGCTTTAATTACAGCATAAGGGCTGTATACTCTCCTAGCACCTAACCTTAAAGGGAAGACTGGGAAAATCTTGACCTAGTTTAGGTTGCATTCTTGCAGTCCCTAGGAGGGTGCCATAAGTCTACAGGATTCATCAGAACTCCTTCTCCAAGATTAATAAGACATCAGAAGAAGTTAAAGGGGGTGTTCTATGACTGTCTGGAGAGAAGCGAGCCAAGACTCTGACTCCACAAGAAATGGGTCTGAGAAGGTGGACTTCTCCATAAAAGCTCATGTTAAAATATAGCAGTTAATCTTTAAAGTGCCACAACAATTTTTTGTTTCTCTTTAGGTGTGACACACAATGACCGAAGCTTTCCATTCCTCCAACTTGCCCTCAAACAGCAAATCTATGCTAACCATGGAGTTTGCTTTGATTAACCCCTTCCCATTGAAATACTGTAAATACAAACTTGATAGTCAAAGGAGGGAGGCTTGAAAAAGAGAGAGTGGAAAAAGGCAAAATTCCATTTCTTACTTCCTGCTAATATGAGAGCAACAGAGCTTTCTACACGACAGATTTTTCTCCAGCCCACCTACAGCTGGATTTCTCACAAAAATAATAACCACTGTTTTAAAAATGTTCCCAAACCAACATTCTTTACCAAGTCATGCTATGTAAATTTAGGTGAAGGAGTTGCAACATTACATTCAGAATCTGCTCAGTAGTACCTTGTACAGTAAAGTGAACAATACAATGTGCAAGGTTTTGCAGTGCAAGAGCCTCGTGAGGCCTTTATAGCTTGGATGCAAAAGTGTCCGTTTCTTATATGGAGGCCAAGGGTTCCCATGGACTTTTCCACTCTGTTTTAAACTGCAAAAAAGGAGAGAAAACCACAGATAAACACCAAATCTCACAAACAGATAAAGCTGACTATAATGATATTACTATAGTTTTTAGGTCAGTGTTGTTCACTCCCTTTTCTCCATCTTCCAGGGGATATTGTACATACACATCCCTTTCCTTAAATTCAGAAGCGAGTGATTCTTAGCACCATTTTAACACACTGGTGTGTGGGCAAGTATTTTACATGTAAATATTTATACTGATTTGGACATAGTACTTTTGTAATTTCTTTTCTTTAAAAGTACCGGGGTGGGGGGGAGCAACAGGCCTGCAGTCAAGCTCTTCGTCTCCATAAAGCATGGTTATGGATCAGGCTTTAAGTCATAGAAAGTTTGGCTGAGAATGACCAACATGAACTCTCGTCAATTTCACAACTGCACCCAGGATGAACCTAATCACTTCCTTTTGCTTGTTTTGTTTGTGAGCTGCACTATTCTATCACTGCCAACAGTGAAAAATATGGACTTTTTTTAATAAAAAGAAATTGCCTACCACACAGGGCTACAAGACTGCTACCTTACAGGATTACAGACAGAATCTATGCATCTGTTCTCAGAAGCTAAGCACCACTGATTTCAATGTAATTTACTATTTAAACAGCTAATTAAAGTCTGTGGATTGAGGAAATCTCATTTTAGGGAGCAGATAATTAAGGCTGAGAGCTGCTAGGTCAAGGTAAACGATGTGCAGCACATGAAACAGCTTTGACACTGAAAACCCTTAAGAAGCAACCAAGAACAGAGAAGTCCTCTGAACGTCATCATCGATGTTCGCTGGGTCATTTCCTTCCATGACACCTCTACAGCACCCCTACATTTTTCTGTCTTCCCTTCAAGGAGACTGCCTTTCTATTCTGGTCTTTTCCTCCTTAACATATCTTCTTCAACAGTAAGAAAAAATGATTTAAGAAGTGGGGGAAAGACGTCATAACTGGCTTAAAACATCATCTGGACCACTCATAAAACTGGATAAAGGACGAACGGCAACTGGAACTTCATCCGAAGATGTCATGACAGTGGATTCATCTGTGTCTTCGGATGACAACATACTTGATGTCAAAAACCCAAACATCTACATTACAGCCTTGCATGTAATGTAAACCTGGAAAGACTAAAAAGAACTAACATCCAAAGAAAGGTCGTTTTTGATGTCAGTCGTGATGCTACTGATGACTCTCGAGCATCAACTGACACAGGCGTCAGAAAATCAGGTTGATAGATGGCTTTTTAAATTTGCAGCAAGAGCTTCCTTTGTCTCCTTCCTCTCCAACTTAGCCAAAGTTGTCTTGAATTGCTATGCAAGCTGCATGATTTTTGGAAGCAAACTGCCCCAAGTTAAGAAATCACCATAAACATTACCAGCTGCAGGTGGAGTCACACGACTCAGGATATAACAGAGGATGTCCACAGGAGTGATTTTTTTAACTTGGGGCAATTCGCCTTCCAAAGGCCCACCACTGATGTTACGCCAGCATAACCAAGGCAAGTGGATTTGGGCCACTCTCTCAGTTGAACTGAAAGAACACATCATTCTTACCTGACTCTTCTTAACTGAAAATAAGGAACAACAATAAATCTGAACTTGGTCTTTGCTGCCAATCATTAGTAACTCTGGAACAGTTCCAAAAGATGCAAAATTAAGGGGAGGGGAAAGAATGACAGGTTACCTACCTGTAATCATATTTCTTCACGTGGACCTCTGTGATTCACACTATGGTAATCCACGCATGTGCGGAGCCTCGTCGCAATATTCTAGAGCTTCTGCAGTAGCAAAGGAAAAATACATTAGCATATATCCCTCCCCCCGGCATATGTACCTTGGCACTAAGGCTCTCCCTCCAGTTAGGTCAACTGCCGCATAAAGAAAAGGTTGTGACGGTGGGGAGGCCGGGTCGGGACGTGTGAATCACAGAGGTCCACTCGAAGAACTACAATTACAGGTAGATAACCTGTCATTCTTCTTTGTGGCCTCTGTGAATCACACTATGGGTGACTAAAAAGCTACCGTACCTGGAGGAGGGTGTCGTGCCAAAGCAGATGATAAAACAGCATGCTCAGAAGCAGCATCAGATTACTGCCGAACATCAATCTGTAGTGACTGATAAACATGGATGGCTGTGACCATGTGGAAGAGACACAGATGTCTGGTACGGAGACGCCCCAAAGAAATGCGTCCATGGACAGGGTCGATAACGAAGGTCTTCGACTGCTACCAACATGGAAGGTGTGTCCATGGACAGTGTTCGATATTGAGGATCATCAATATCAAAAGGGTCAGTATCGAGGTGTGTCGAAATGGAGGTGGTTGTCAGTGTCGACAGAGCTGTCAAGGTGGTAAAGGTGTTGATGGACCATATTGTATTATGGTGGAATAGACAGACACCAGTGATGCAGAGCAAGATGAGCGCTCGTGGTCCTCCTAATGGAGAGGAAAATAGTAACTTGCTGGTGCTGCAACATGCCCGGAGCAGAGGAGTATTGATCGGCTTGGTTGGGGCTCTCAGGTGCCGGCAGATAAGAGGTGCCAGGTAGTCCTGGGCAATCATGGTAATAAGATCACTTCGACACCGAAGGCTCCCTAGCAGAGACATCCTGCAGGGGCAGCACCGCCGGAGCAGGAAGAGCGAATGGCCGATAGTGTTTGGCAGGCTTCTCCATTAGGTACCGATCAGGGCAAACGGCATCCCAATGATGGTGCTGAGCGTGATCTCTTTCCCCGCGAGGAGGCAAGCAGACGCTCATATAGGCTTGATGCCTTTGTTGATGTGCTGGAGGCCGAGGTGGTAGGTCTACAGGGGCAACGTAAGGCACAGTTTCTGGTTGCATTTAGTGCAATGGATGTCTGACAAGGCAATCTGTGAAGACTCATTCAGAGAGCCCGAGGATTGTCGCGGGCTATCAGGGGAAACCATGAGTCAATCGTCGCGGGCTATCAGGGGAAGCCATGAGTCAATGAACACGCTATTCCCATTCGGGAGACTGGAATGGTGAGGTTGGTGAGGAAGTGCCTCCTCATCTGCAAGAGAACTGACGTAGATGAGGTTTCTAGACTCTGGTGGTTGTGGAGTCAGGGAAACGGTTTTGGAAGGCTTCGATTTCAAAGACTTAGCCTTCTTCGGAGGTGACGGTTCCAGTGCCGAGGAAGCATCCATGGACGGTTTTCTCTTGGAGCCTGTTTTCCATGTTGAGTGTTTCAATGTCAAATATTTGTGCACTTGTGTGACCATCAATATCAAGGGCAGAATAGGTTATCGATGATTGGAACAACATGGAGTCACTGACAGGTGCTGTTTTGTCGCTTCGGAAACAGCTTCATCCATGGCTTTAGGGAATGCTCCAAGAGCCGAAGCTTGAGTCTAGAGAGGCCACTGCGGAGAACTCCGCGTTTAAAGTTTTTGCAGTGAGGGGACAAGGAAGTTTGATGGCCTCAATGAGGCAAAAAAGGCATTTAGGGAGGCCATCAGAGAGTGGGATCTCGTTATCACAGGCTACGCAGCTTTTAAATGGGCCTGAAAAGGTCATGAATCGAGAACGGTTTTTGAAAAGAAAACAACGGAAGGGGGGGAAATAAAGTTCAGTAACTTTCCTACTTTCATTTTCAGATTTCTCACAGAAGCAACAATCAAGGCTCTCAATGCGGCGGTGGAAAGAAACTGAAAGGAGACCCTTGGCACCAAGGCACATATACCAGAGGGAAGGGGTCTATGCTAATGTATTTTCCTTTGCTACCACAGAAGCTCTAGAATACTCTGGCAAGTATCCATACATGCATGGATTACCAATAGTGTGATTCACAGAGGCCACAAAGAAGAAGAGACGTAACTTAAAAGGTTGACTTCCCATTTGTTTTTATTTGGCCTCAAGGAACAAATTATTCAATTCACTAAAAATGAAAAGGTTACACGTTTGCAAAAAAGATGGCAGGTAATACATCATTTTGACATGTCACCTTAGCAAGCCATAGCAGTTTTTAAAAAAGGATTAAAGTTGTGTATATTTTAACTTTTTTTGTAGTGTTGTCCAGTTTTACCTTGGGGAAGAGCACCTCATTTCGTTGCACCCACTTGTGAGCGCAATGACAAATAAATTTCTTATGTCTTATGTCTTATGTCTTAAACTACATGTTTCACAGAATTTATCCTAATGAAAAGCATGAAATTGTGCATGTGAGTACTTTTGTTTTACATCTATCAATCCAAGATGAGTAACAATCTTTTAGCTGCAAGTGGAATTGTTTTTCCTCACTAATTAAGGTGACACATTGACTATTCACCTTCTTTTGAGGGTTAACGCATACCAGTGATTGAAAGCTATGTCCCAGAAACAGCTGATGGGTTGCAATAGATCCTGTAGAGATACTCTGATTCAAGTTCCCCTTCTTGATCTGAATGCAGTAAAAGAAGACTTTCCTGCTATACTAAAAAGCAGGACACAGCCCACCTGCATACCTGCTCAGGACCACATCTCCAAACTCACGGCTTATGGGAGGTCCATAGAATCTTATTTAATGGGTTAATTCTTTCTGGTGCAAACTAATATGGTGGTTCTAATGGGTTAATTCTTTCTGGTGCAAACTAGAAACTGGGCAACAGCTAGAAAGATAATATGGTGGTTCCTCTCCCACACAAAGACTGTGTGTGTGGTGAATACTCTTACTGCAATGCCACAAGCTTTCTGCAATGTATTGAAGTTTTTTAAACCTTTCCAAAAAAAGCAGTCAAAAGCAGATCTACATAGTACGTGTAGTATACATTTCAATACATTAAAACACTAAAACGTCACAAGACTAATAAAAGAACAGTATATAAATACAGTTATTAGTCTAAAAGACTGCCAGAACACAGTACTGTATTCACTTTTCATGATTCAGAATATATATACAACTTACAATGCTGTGTATCGGTCCATTGCTGATTGAACATCTCTACGGTAAACAGTTCGAAGAATCACCATGACTGGGTCAAATTCCTTATCCCATACTTCAGCTATCATTGAAGAGATAAAACATGTTTGTTGTTAAATTCTGAAATTTATTGCAGGTTTATCTTTACAGAAAGATTTTTATATTTTGATATTATTTGATATTACCATATTTTCCCGTCTTTCAGACAATACTTCTAAAATCTTTAGATTAAAAATTGAGTGTTGTCTTATACACAGAGGTAAGGAGGGGGGAGGGATCAAAGCATTTGATTTCTGCTTTCCCCCTCCACATTTTGCAAAGAAAGTGGAGGGGGAAAGCACTTTCCTCGCAAGAAAGTGGAGGGGGGAAGCAGGAATCATCAAAGCGCTTTGATAATGCCTGCTTTCCCGCTCCACTTTCTTGCGTGGAAAGTGCTTTTCCCCTCCACTTGGTGCAATCCTTGCATTGCAATGGCATACAGACCTCAAGCAACCCTTATCTGATCCACGCTTTACAAGTGCAAGTAGTAGGATACGAGTATTACAAATGATCCTTAAGAAAAGAGTACTCTTGCCTTAAAGGTTGAGAGTAGATATGGGGACGAATATAAAAACAAATCAGGATATTTGTTAAATATCCCTGATTCGTCAGATATTCGTTGCTTCATATTCTTGGGGTCCAGAGACCCCAACAAATTATGAAGCAACAAATATAACCCTCTTATATTCATCCCTTCGTACCCTATCTGCTTATGCCCCCACAGATCAGCTGTTCCTCAGGGAGATAAGCAGAGAGGGATTTTCCATTCAGGCTGCTTGTTAAAGCCTGCCAGAAGGGAATCCTACACCCGGGGCTTGGAGATTGCTTGGTTCCCCTTTCCTCCTCTTCCTATGCCTGCATAGCATAAAAGAGGAGGGAAAGAATCAAAAGTATCCCCCAGCTGCTGCGGGATCGCTTTGTTCCCTGATGTCCCCCTCCTTTTGCTAAGCCCTGCGCCGGGGACAGCAGGGATCAAAGCACTGCAGGATCACTTTGATCCCTGCTTCCCCTCCTCTTGAGGGAAAAGAAAAAAGGTGAGATGAATGAGGAATTGATTTGTTGTTCCTCAGGTCACTGGGGGGTGCAATTCGATGGCGCTTTGTCCCCATCTCTAGTTGAGAACGTGCTGCAGCCTATTTCACATACCTTCACAACTACACTTCTTGTCCCTGTCTTAAAGGGCCAGTCGAGAAACCGTAACGGCAGCATATTCAGTTGTAGGTAGTTTCTTGTGTCTGAGTGTGTACGTGCACATGCATATATATTGTATATACTGTATAGTGAAAATTATTTTTCACTTCCTCTGCCCCTCTGCAGGCAAAGTGTTTAATTCACCAATATCCTGAAGTGGCTCTATTAGGTCACCTCACAATAAATGGCAAATCAAAAACGGAAGGTTTTTTGTTTGCACGCAACAATCACATATGCTAGAAAGAGACCAACAATGAGCACCCCAGCCCACACCCAAAAAGGCAGGAGGCCCTCACTGGGACCAGAGAGGTGCGGGTAGGACTGTTTTAGGGGTGGGCTGATTCACTCCAATAAAAACATTGTCTGGCTGCCATCTTTAGGAGTGGACTAGCTCATCCCGGCAACAGGCCAAAGAGCAAGCCAAATGCCTATGCAGTCAATCAGCCTCTGGGTCACACCACTCAGTATGCAAAATGTAATGTCTACAGTGATTTCTTAACCTAGGACGCTTTGCCTCCCAAAGTTATGTTGTGCTATGCCACCATAACTAGGCAGAAGGATTTGGGCTGATTACTACTGTCTGGTTGATAGTACACAAACACGTTGCACAAGCACATGGGTAAAAACTCAGCCTACCTTTGGGTGTATACATCCCTTGCTGCATAGAACCCCCCGGCTCGAACACGGGGGCTTTAAAATCCGCGACAGCAGACAACATGGATTCAAAGCTTAAGCTTCCGGGAAGGATGCCACTTTTAGGATTAGGGTTTTCTGGAATGTGATCTTTATGTTAAGAGGAATAGCAAAAAAGTGCTAGAAAGTTTTCATGGATAAAGAGTTCAGCGAGAGCTAATTTTGGAGTCCGTTCAGGGATTTCTGCAGCTACTCAGTTTCACCACAAGAGGTCCACATTTCAAAACGAATGCCAACCATTCAAGCTTTAATGCTGAATTGTATTTGTTTGTTTGCTTTGGAAGAAGTACACAAATGACTTACTAATTTTCTAACTCTATAACCAAGATTGATCAGATATGTAACTGAATGACATGACATACGTACTTCATGGTACTTGTAGGCCACCGTTTTTCAAGAGTATCATCACAAATAATGGGAGATGACTATATAATTGTAACATTCAGTGTTGCTGCTAATCTGACTTTCACCGAGACAAATCCATCCCACGTGTAAGAAGAAAATAATACCAAACAAGCCACAACTACCCTTCACCTCTGCCAAGTATGAAATAAAACTCTATTTATTTACCTCTTTGTCTGTTTTCTTAAATTCAGTTGAAATATTTTTAGCCGACCTTTATCCTTGAAAGGACCCAAGGTGGCTAGTTGTAGATTTATCTCTTCTGCTAAGATCAGCAGAACAATACCATTTGCATCTTTAAATATCAATTATTTTGTATCTTTAAAGTTATATTATCAAAAGGATAATACTAGAGTACACCCTTCTGGATAACTATATATATTACAGCTCTGAAACAAATCTGGAATTAAAACGAACCGGCTAACAGAAAATGTGTTTATTGCTTTTCTGTCGTCACACACTGCCCAGTTCTTCCCCTAAGTAAAAAGACTCAGCTAGAGAAAGGCAGTTTGTCTCAATGGAAAAATAAACACCATTTCAATTTGTTCTCTCTCTATCAGAAACAGAGTATGATTGAAGAGGCCAGTTACAGGGTGCTTTTTCCACCAACCAGCATTACAAACAAAGATTATTACAAATTTACAAATTAGCAGAATCAAACATCACTAATAAGCTTCTAGGAATTCAACTGCTCTTATTGCTATCCTTACTTTTTCTTGCATGAAATCAAAGTGGAATACTCCATGTAATTAATTATACATCAAAAACTCATTTATTACTTTGTTAAGGATATAAGGTCCAGGAGTGCGCTGTGAGTTCTGTCATTCATGCACAATTGAGCTACCATCTCTGCTCTCAGAATCTCATCATCGGTCATTCCTAGAGTCATGGAACAGGAAATTAAGATAAATTATATCACACTATGTTACATGAAATAAAATGTAGAACTGTTTTTCCTCAGTTTACAAATTCTCTGTGTTGAATGTGCAACAACAGAATATTTTTAAAAAGTTGTTTTGTAAATCAACAGAGCATTAGTAGATTGAATTTTCAACCTGAATGCCAAGTCGTTTTAAAATAAACTTAAATGATATACTACATTTTTTGACTGACACATTTTTGTAAAGAACTTACTGGAGATGCTACTAAGGAATTTCTTCCTAATTTGAAAAGTATGGTGTAAAACCAAAGTTTTCCATAGAACTGTGCAATTTAAGGACCATTCATGTATAGCCACATACTCTGATGTACCATTACTTCCAAATAAGCTGCAATTAACTCACTCTAACTTCTAAGTAAAATGCCTAATACAAAAACACGCTTCCAAATAAGCTGCAATTAACTCACTCTGACTAACATCTAAGTAAAATGCCTAATACAAAAACACATGATGTAAGGCTATTTGCCCATTTGCTCTGAAACAACTTTTGGATTTGGTTATTAAAAAAGTTTGCTCTGAAACAACTTTTGGATTTGGTTATAGCATCAAATAAAAGAGTCTGCGCCTCAGACACAAAAGACCAGATATAACCCCAAATGAAAAGCAAAGGTGGATGATTTGCTATCCCACCCTTCACGTGCTGCCCACCTGATTTCCTCACATTTCCACTTGCCTCTGCCAGACAGTGGGAGCCTCATTACTCTGAGGCAATAATATCAATAGAAGAACAAACAGTCCTCCAAAAAGCCTGGAATCAAGGAGGAGCAGGAACTAATCCCACGACTGGCAGCCTCAGCCTAAATGCCAGAGAAGATCCCCTTTCACCCCCTCTCCACTTTCAAGCTAGAAGGAGAGGCTGGCCATGTGGTGGTGAATGACAGAGGCACCCAGAAGCCCACCTGGTGTCAGAACCAGTCCAGGTTTCCCCATGACGTCAATGAATTTAGCTGCTTTAGAAAGCAAAGATCCAAGGGCCTTGGTCAACATCCAAGGGGACCCAGTCTGAGAAGGGGCTGCTGCCCTGTCTACAGATCCAAGCTCCCAGCAGGAGGGAAGAAAAAGCTCTGTCCAAAATCCCAGAGAGAGGCTATAGGCAGGACTGAGTTAAATGGGACAACAAGTATTTGCCAATTTTTACCTCAGTTCGGATTCAAGTTGATGAGGGGGGAAATGAATTGTCTCTGACCTTCCCAAGCAAAAGATCACAGACTCTAACTATAATACTATATATATATATGTATTACAGAACAGCCAAAATCCACTTGGTCCATCTATGCTGTGCAGCTCTGATGATGTCATCAGCCACAGCCATGTCACAGCTATTTTGAGGGAATTAAAAGCTTCCTCTCTCTCCTCCCACTAGGTTCTGGGGATCCCTAAGGTTGTCATAGGAAGCCTTTGGGAGCTGTCAAATAGGGTAGGAAATGATTCAAAGCTGTGTCAGTGATTTTCCAACTTTAATTTTTTCCCTACCCTATTCTGTGGTTCCCGAGGCCTTCCTAGGACAAAGGGAATACTTAGGGATCATCAGAACCTGGTGAAGAAGGGAGATGACATTTTCAATCTCCCCAAAATGGCCACTGCATGGATGTGGCTGATGACACCATCAAAGCTGCACGGGGCAACTTGTGCAACAGGATTCTGGCCAATGAGTCTCATCAGCTAGGAAAGATAACAGGGCTTTTTCTACTGTGGCACCAAACTGTGAATTCTATTCCTGGAGAAGTCTAGTTTCTTCTCTTATAGCTTCCAGGTACAGTATGGTAAATTTTTAAAACAATTTCACTTGGGTTGATGTTATTTCTACCCTCTTGATACTATTTTACTGGCTTCTGTTTTAATGCTCTATCTCATTGTTGTTCAATCACCACTGATATTTTTTGATGATACAATAATAAGGCCCTGAGCTTTTTATGTATACATTTTTACATAAATCAATAGAATTCTTACTTTACTATTAACAAAAGTCAAGGTTTCAGGAAACAATTCAAGAAAATTATTAGCAAGCCATTTATTTGCTGTTTAGTCACCATTCCTCCCTAAACTCATGCACCTGATACTTAAGCTATGATCAAACGTATCTAGACACAGAAACTGCTATAATTAAAAAATAAGGGTGAAAATTGCATTTATTACCTAAATGTAAACGAAGACTTAAAAGAATGACGAGGAACGTTAAGGCACCTTCCAGCATTGACCTCTCATGCTCAGAATCCAGCACTGTGTTTTGATGTTGTGAAGCCATTGTTAAGAGGTCAACTACCTTGAACCTACATGACAGGCGAGAGATCAAAATTATTACTAAGAATATGACAGATCCCACAAGTCTCCAGCTAAAGACCTGGTGCAATAGCATGATGTGACCATATAAAATTCTCTGATTACTACTATATTGGACAATTATGACTGAGGAAATGGACTTGATCCATGGAAGCTCACATTAAAATATAACAAGCTTTAAGGTGCCACACCGTTTTTATCATCTCCCCCCCCCCTTTTTGTTACTAAAATATAACAATCTTTAAGGTGCCACAACGTTTTTATCATCTCTCCCCCCCCCTTTTGTTATTGGTCGATATGCTTCCACATGGCTACCTCTTCTAAAGCTACCATACTGGAGGCACAGTATATTATTAAGCCTTTAAAACAGAATAAAGAGCACCTTTAATTTGGCAGAACTTTAAGGTTTGCCACCCACTCTGTCCCGTGCCTTTGTGAAACTTCTGCCAGCTTTCCACCCACTTTTCTCTTTTCTTCCACACTCTATGGACACGTTGTGCTTTGAAATGGCCCTTGTCACTCTTTATGGGATTTCCTTCACTCTTTCTTGGATGACAGTGTGAAAGAGAAGGGCGGGAAATGTGCATGCACCTCTGGCAGTACTGTAATTATGCATCACAGGGCTCTTTAACATTTACCAGAACAGTTTTAAGCCCTGCTAGTTGCTCTCCCTCTAAACCATTAACTCCAAGGGGCTGAGGAGTGAGGAAAGAGATCCCCAGAGATCTCCATAGGGCAGAAATACATTTCAATAGCTGTCTCTTCAGAAACAGAGTACAACACGACAGTGTTACTAGTTTCTTCTCCCTTTTGGCATTCAGACAGAAGAGGTGACATATACAGAGCTCAGCTGCTACAGCCACTGAGATGAGCAGAATTCTCTTTTTAGGTCTTAAAGTACTCAAAGGACAAAGGACACTACACAAGTCCTGTCATATGGAGCTTGCTTGATCCTGAAGCCTTGGCAGCACAGTGGCAGAAATCGGAGTGCAAGCACAGTTTGGAATCTGTTTACCACCCAAGGGTCATTGATACCAAGAGAGCTGAAGTTTGCAAGGTTTTGTTTAAATATCTAAAAGCTATCTTCAGTTAATGGACCCTTTGCTTTTATAAAGTTTTATTAGAAATTAAGATAATCAGAACACATTTGTGAGTCTTTTCTTCTCCTACAATGTAGACCAAAACTTTATGTAGGCACCCACCATGTGGAATAATCTCCCAGCTGAGATCACACAAGCATCCAGTGTACAGTCGTGCCCCGCTTTATGACAAAATCGCATTATGATGACATTTTTGCGATTGCTTTTGCTTCGGGAACCGATTCTTCGCAAAATGACGATTTTCCTACAGCTGATCAGCAGTTTCAAAATGGCCGCCGGGTAAATAAAATGGCTCCCCGCTGTTTTCTGGGACGGATTCCTCGCAAGACAGACACCGAAAATGGCCGCCCTATGGAGGATCTTCGCTGGACGTTGAGTTTTTAGCCCATTGGAACACATTAAACGGGTTTTAATGCTTTTCAATGGGTTTTCTATTTTCGCATTATGACGTTTTCGTTCTACAGCGATTTTGCTGGAACGAATTAACGTCGTAATGCGAGGCGCCACTGTACATTATTTCTGCTATTTACTAAAAATCTATTCATCTGTCCAGTCGTTTGCCAGATTACTTTCTGAAATGTGAGCAAGTAGCAATTCAATGGACTTGTGTTTTCTTTTATCTTCCATTCACAAGGAATAGCAACTACAGACCTTCTTAACACTGATTTCAATCCTTTGCACCCATTCCTCTCACACCAGAACATCCACCACTGGAATTTCCCAGTGTGCTGGACATACTCCAAAACAGAAGAGAAGCCCAGCTAGAAGGATAGTAAAGATATCATGACAGAAGTGGAACTATGATATAATATTATAATAAGCTTAGAACTGCAAAGCTGGAAGGGACCCTATGGATCATTGAGTCCAGCCCATAGAAGAGACCCAGTGGGGAATAAAACTCCCAATCTTTGGCTCCACAACCAGATACCTAAACCACTCAGTTATCAAGCAGTTCACTTTAGACATTTCTCCTTTTGCCGCCAAGGAAAACTGAATAGGGGCAGAAGTAATTCAGTGCACTCACTGCCACTGTTCAACAATGCCACTGTCCGTGTAGATCAAAGGGGCTGCTGTTAAAATACCAAACTGTGGGGGGGGACTCCTCACAGAGTGCTTACACAGGTTTTATTTTTTTAAAAAAATTACAAACACAATCTCTTACCTTTCAAAAACAGAAGAAATAAAATAATCTGGATCAAGTCTAGAAGCACAGACCTGTTTTTCAAAGAAGCACAATATAAGTATTAGCCATCACTGTTCAGCTTTCTACTACTCTAGGACAGATGAGGTCATAGAAAGCACTGACCTACCTGCAATAGATAAATGTCAGGATCAATCATGGAATTACAGAAGTGAGACTGCACGTAAGTCATGGCTTGTCCTTTAATCTGCAGACCATTCCGCACCCACATATTACTATGAATTTCGGAGAGGCTTGCCTACCAAGAGAGCAAAAAGAAAAGCGGTTTGGGTTTTTACTTTGTGTCTTGAGGAAGTATTGAGCAACATAGGATGTGCCGCTTGGGCACACTTTTAATTCCATCTGTTTTTAAGCACAAGGAAACGAAAGAAAAACTCTTCCGTAATGAGTTGCACAGCTTTTGCAGGATACTGGAGTTGGCACTAGTATACTACACCTCACAAACACTACTTGATTTTACCTGCTGCCAACTGAAAATAAAATTACTGAATGATTTCCAAGTAGCACAAATAAACAAATGTGCTGCTCAGAGAGGGATGAAATGAGTGTCTCTTCAAGCAGGCTTTCCCTCAGCAACTGGCTGTCTAAGAAGGGTTTTGTTGTTGTTGTTGTTGTTGTTGTTTAAAATGCTTTTGTTGCTTTTAATGTGTTTTAGTACTGTTTTCTACTTCTTAAATATTATATTTATTTCTTTTTTAATATTGTAACAATTTGTTGCTTTCAGATGTAAGCTGCCTTAGGGCCTTTTCTGGAGAAATATGGGATATAAATATTTAAATAAATAAATGACTATGTTAACTATACACTTGCACACCACAGATTAATACATGCAGTTTAACATCACTCAGGCCTACATCTACACACTGGGATTCTTCACAGTTAATTCCAGGGAGTTCCTGTGTGTTGTTACATCAGTCACTGATTTGAACTGTTCTGAAGTGCTCATCCCAGTATTTGCATCCAAATGCATGACAGCAATTACTAGCAGATGTAGTGGGATGAACCAGAACATCATAACCAACATCTCTTGAAATGTTCCCCAACATTTTACTCCCAAGTCTTATTACTGTCCCCCTCATTTAAACTATCTTTTCTGCCAAGTTCACCTTCCTCCCCCTGCTTCCCCTGCCCACCATCCACCCATTTAACACACCGTACTCTTATTACTGCACTCTCCCTAAACCTTTCCATTTTGACCTATTTCACTGCATAATAATACTGCCATTTCATATTTTTTTCATTTTTCTGCTTTAATGGTATATAGTGTGAGACCTCTTCCCTATTAGGATATGAACATCACTGCTAATGCCACACTCTTTTCTCCAAATAATATTTTGTGGTTAAATCTTCAGGAGTCTTGGTATGACGCATGGAAAGCCTTGTGCTGCACCAGTACACACTGGAGCAATTTGAACAGCCACCACCACCCCAAGAAACCCACACACGTTTTTTAAAACACAGAAATTTGTCCCACTGTAGCACAGTTGCCTCAATTTTAGCCTTGTGTAGTGTGGACACCAGAAAAAGTTGAACAAACGCTTGGTATGGATCCATCACACATTCAAATAAAAATAAATTGTCCCTAGCAAACACTAGGGGATTTGAAAAGTCTGGTATTTTACCTATAATGGCTGATCAGCAGGTCCCAAACTTGCAATACACTTAGAGAATAAAATCCTTGGCAAACATACCTGAATCTGAAGTGGATGGACCATTAATTTCATCAACATCTCTTGGTCTGGGAGAAGAGAATCCAGTTCTATTTCTTGGCATTTAACAGCCTATGAGAAAAAACCAAATACATTTTGGATGAGAACAGAAACTACAAATCTATGTGATGAATATCCCCTATCTCCCTTCAAAAAGAGGATCCTACCTTACTCAGAAACATTGCATAGTAACGATGCAATGGCAGGTGAAAAGAGACCTGATTAGGAGTAGGCTGCAAGAGAAACAAAGGTAATGTCATTTTCAACAATGACTAGGTTAAATTCATGCACTAATGAAGTATTTTCTATTTCCATTTCTCTGGATTCTGGGAAACAAGGAGTGTATCATAAGAAACAATTCTACATATACATATGAATTTATGCTTCCACTCCAGTGCTTCTGAGACAGACATTCCCCATTATAACCATATACAGTGGTGCCCCGCATGACGACGACCCCACTAAATGACGAATCCGCAGGATGATGTTTCCTATGGGGGATTTTTGTTTGACGACGATTAGGCCCGTGCTTTGCGAACCATTTGTTCGCAAGATGATTTTTCCAGCTGATCGCCGGGTTCCTAAAATGGCTGCCCTGTGTTTTCCAGACCCATGCTTCGCAAGGCAGCCATTTTAACAGATGATCGGCACTCGGAAAATGGCTTCCCTATGGGCGATCTTAGCGACGAGGTAATTTCCCCATTGGAATGCATTAAATGGGCTTCAATGCATTCCAATGGGGAATTATTTCTTGCATGATGACGATTTTGCTTAACAGCGATTTCAGGGGAACGGATTATCGTCGTCATGCAGAGCACCACTGTATACTACACATAAGCTGGAAGAGGGGCACGTTGTTTGGAGCAGCAACATAGATACTGCTTCATCTGATGCAACATGAATACTGTTTACTTATGTATCTTCAGACTGTTGCAGTGAGAAGCAACATAAGTAAACAATATTCTGATTATCTTAATGAACGGTATTATAAATATACATTAAGTCAATAATGAGTTTGACATTCATTTTTGTGATGTCTGACAGGGATCCTCTTGCATCACCGGTGACTGAAATGGGATGCACTGTATCCTCTGAAGGGCCCACGCACTACCAAGCTTCTCTCTATTCAGACCCAGCCACCGTAACAAAAGGGACTAACTAGTTTATTAGTACACAGAATGTCTTGGGTAAGTTGCATAGTTTCAGACTGCCTTATTGCATTTGGCCACTGTGAGTGCAAAGTCAGAAGGAAAATCATGTTCACCCCCCTAAGCTCATAGGAGGAAAAGCATGAAATAAAGTAGCAAATAAATAAACAAGGAGATCTTAAGAGTCAGTGGGTTTTTCAATGGTCTAATTGCTCTCAGTTTTCTGAATGCACTTTCAGTCGCCAAAGGAAGGCCAGTGAGATAGTAAAGGGACAGGGGAAAGAAAAGAAAGAGCAGAGAGAAAGTGAAAGATCACTAATGGAACAAAACAGAAATATCACCTGCTCGGGGCATCAGATATTTGCAGGCTAAAAAGCAAGGCTCACTCCGACAGGAGGGACATGAGAAGACACATTTGTATATAACAGGAAACTCCACAATGCCAAGTTAAGACATAGGATGCACAAACCTCATCCACAAAGTTGATTGCATCAAACCAGTCCTGGAGTGCTTCTAGACAATATTTAACAACATTTTGTGTGTACTCTTGTGTCTCCTGAAATGGGAACAAAAATGTGGCACAAACTGAAAAAAATAAATTTTCCCCAAACATCTAAAAACACAGCAAGACATGTCCAGAATTCCTTTTCTTCTAATATATAATCTGAGACAGAATTATGATGTTTCATAAACTAATCATTCTAAATAGAGAAACCACAGTAGAGTTAAGAGATTTCCTTAGTTAAAATTAGCAGTCCTGATGGCATATGGCAAAACACATCAGACCATGAGAGTGTGGCTTCAACACTTGGAGGACTTGTTACTTGGCCTCTAAAACTGCAGATAAGACTGGGACCCAAGCTTATATGCTTTTTCATCACCCACTATACGTGATAATGGATAAACTAGGAAATTCCACTAATTAGAATGGAGGCTCTCATAAATAGTGTGAGTCGGAACCTGATTTCAACTAAATATACGTTAAATGTATGCAGGTTTTGTAGTCATTTTTCTCTTTGGTGAAGAAATAAAAGAAGGGAGCAGACAAGCTTACAGCCTATCCCCAAACTCACCACACATACAACTTCAGAAGCCAAAACCAGGCCCCTAGCAATAGGTCACTCACTTCAAAATGAGAGGCTGGAGTTAACAGTTGAATTTTCAGATTATTGTGTAACCAAAATTAGTTTAAAAAAAAGAATTGATGTTGATAATCCTTCCCCCCACACACACACAATGTTATATCCATTCTGTACTGTTGGATAAAGCAAACAGGAACAACTTTGAACACAGATTACGACCACTGTCCCACGGCAGCTCTCTGCAAAACTATAGTAGGGAGCTGGGAGGCTGTAAGACTGATGGTGAGAGCAAGATTCCTCTCATGGGAGTGCCGTTTCCTCTGCAGACAGAAGGAGCCCTTATACTTGCAGAAGAGAAACCGTACGCCTAGCACAGTATACTTTGAAATACTCTACCCAAATGACTTCAGCAACAAAGTAATACTGCATTCAGATGAGTGTGGGATTTCCAGATTAAGCTGTTGTTTTTTCTAGACATGATATATTTGATTAGAGAGGAAACAAAAGTAGCCTGAAACCCACTCAGAACACCCACCCAGGTTGCTGGAGATCATGGCGTTTACAGTCTGAACAGGCTGCACGTACTTGCATGTGTTGCAGTACTTTCTAGAAGATCTGGATGTTGGGACCAATCCCAATTGATAGCCTTAACTCAAGCAGACACACTGAATCCACAAAACTCACATGTTTTGACTAACCAAAATAGTAGTGATTCAATGAGTCTACTCAAGGTAGGAGTGATGGATGTAACCCTTTATTTTTGCTTTTAAACACCCCAAAGAACCTATGTTATTGGACAGCACATATATATATACAAGTTAAATAAACATATACATAAATACACAATTAAAAAAACTTTTAAATAATATACATGTATCAAATAATTAATAAAAATGCTGATCATTATTGAAGAAAGCTGTAGGTTTTTCCCTCATTCATGCTGCAGATAAGATGACATAAACTACAATTGTGCTACTCCTGGCCAGACGTTTCCTCCTGCTTCACTTATGGACGGCTACCTGCTTTCTATCCAAATCTTCCAAGCAACCTATCTGAGAATATACAATTGCTGACAAATATTACACTGACCCAAGTGGGCCTTAGGACATGTAACAACCTGGATAACACAGGAAGGTGTGTTAACTGATACAACTACGCATTGCTTTTTAAAACGGCCTGTCACTGAAAGACCCACCTAAGCCAAACAAGAGTTCAACTTACCCTGACTTTGCAGTGTGACAAGAGTCCCCACATGGGCTGCGCACAGGCCTCCAGCTCAGCAGCAAAGGCAGCATAGTAAGTCTGGGATTCAAACTCCACGTGTTCATTAAGTTCCCTCTTGTTTAAATTCATCCCTTAAAGGATTAATACAAAATTGTACATTTCAGCATTCTCTGCTTTTTTTTGGGGGGGGGGGGAAACCATGTAAATAAAATATTAAAATGGTGAAATTCCTCCCTGCAGCCACTAGAGGGAGGCAATGAAAAAGCAACTAAGTTTTTCCAGTTAAGTGAAACACAGAGAAAGAGTTTTGTTTTGGTTTTTTTAAAGAGAAGAAACACGTTTTGGGAGGTGAAAACCACTGTAACAAGTACAATTCTCCAGCATTCAGGGTGGGCACGTGCTGCTCCTGGACATCCGGAAGTTGTCCACCCCACTACACACTATGTATTCTATACCTGGCCTACGGAATATCTACAGTAAACATGGCCACTCTGATAGCTCTGGAGCCAACACCAAACCCAACACCTCAAACTTTCTGGGCCTGCACCCCTTGAGCACCGTGGAAATTCAGTGTGGAAGTGCTTAATGTTTACTCATGCCTCCACTTAAAATAAAGCACATGGAGAAATTTCAAAGAGGGTAGCAACAGGCATATGCCCTCCATGGGCCACAGATTACTCATCTTGATCTACAGGGGCAGCTCAGATAAAAATTTAGATTGGAAAGACAGCATGATTATTTCACCCAAAAGGGCATGTACAAGTGACAACAGACCCTGTCACAGCAGCCAAAGGCAGAAAGATCACAATTGTGTCTCTGAATCTGAAATACCAGTGACACATCAAATTTTTGCACATGGACATTCAGCTCCAGCAGAATACACAAATAACTGAGTGTAACTTTCTAGTGCAGTAACTTGCTAAGAAAGCAAAGTTTCACAACAGCTGCCTGTTGCACATATCTGACTAAAACACTACTTTGAGCAATACTTTCTTTGGTATTTTATGGAAAAAACACGGATTTTCAGATTAAAAAAAAAAAGATTCTTTTTCAGCTCGAAGGGACAGGCTCAGATGAACAGCTTTTCTACCATTCTATGATTTTCTGCCATCACGATATACTAATTCAAGAACTGTAGAATAAAGCTGTATGAAGAAGCTGAACTGATCAGCTCCAGGATTTTCAAAACTTGCCCAAAGCAGTATTCTTTGACATAACTACATAAGGCAATCTGCCAATCAAAACTGATGATGTTACATACCTCTATTAGCTCTGTTATTTCTGAGCCTAAGAGCGGAGGTAAACAACCACACATTCTCCAGCTGTTTTACAGTGGTTCCCAACCTTAGCTAAGCCATGTGTTCTGGGACGACATCTCCCAGAAATCCTGGCCAGCACAGCTGGTGGAGAAAGCTTCTGGGAATTGCAGCCCATGAACACCTGGATCACCCAAGGTTGGGAGCCACTGGTGTAAAATGATGGAATGCATGGTTTTCTGAACTAATATTTTCAAACCGTTTGTTATCACCACATTGTTTATCCATAACTTCAGTTTTCTACATCAAGAAAATTCAGTTCTTCCTCTTTAAAGTATACATGTACATGGCTTGAAATAAGCTTGGGGGGAGGAGCCAAATGCACCCACCGGAAATACTACTGACAATTCCACTCAATGGAAGAACAATTAAAGAGAAAGTGGACCATGTAAGCAAATCATAAGACCTTAAAAGAATTAACGCTATATAACGGGGTGGGCAACTGTGACCCTCTGCATGTTTTTGGACCAGCCCCCATACTCTCTGACCACTGGTGGTGTGGTTTAAGGCTCAAGGAAAGTATGTACCCAGGACATCTGGAAGGCCACAGCAGCCACCCCTGCTACAAGGCAAGTGAGGACTGTAAAAATTCCTTCAAACTGCCTTTATCGACACAAAGCTTGTTCATATACAGTAGTCAGATAACAGGATCACATACCTTGAAAAAACGATACAAAGTTCATCCAAGTGACTAATAGTTTGTGATCTTCTAAGAATTTCTTAGCCACACTCTGGTGTGACAGAATATTAATGAAGTCACTGACAAGAGGCCAGTAGGTGTTGTTCTTTAGTAATGCTTCCCCGCAGTTCACTACCACATGTAAACTGTTTTCCTCATCTAAAAGAAAATGAAAACATTTAAGGACATAAATGTATGCCAGTACCTGCAAGGTATTCACACCCTGAGCGTATCTTGACCACCGTGCTATGCACCACTTCAAAACCACTTGAATGGTCACTGTTCCATCTTAAGAAAAGCTTAGGATTTACAGTTTGGTGAGGTACTTTGAATTCTGTGCGGTAGTTCAGAGGAGTGCACTAGAGTGCCGGGAAGGAGCAATAGGCTGCATTACTCTCTAGGACAGGATTTTCACTTCCTCTCTAAACATCACATCCCAGAATTCCATAGGACATGACACACAGATCATGAGAGTTAAAGTGGCGCCAAACTGGTGTAACTGTGCAAGGTAGATTCACACAGGCATGCCCAATAAGACACAGATTCCCCACATGACTTTTCCATTCTTCCAATAAGTTTTGTAGCTCTCTGTGGACCTTGACGTTCTAAGTCCCAATTCAATGCCTAACTACTATACAATACTTATGGGGAACTTACGCATGTAAAATTCAAGAGAGGGGACACTTCCAGATGCATACTTGTTACATACAATTGTATGTAATTTGTCTGAGGTGCTTTCTTTTTACCAGAAACACTTTCTGAGTCTGCAAAGATCATGGAGGAGGAGAATGAGGAGGAAGAAGGGGCTATTTTAGATCTTTCCCTTCCAGCTTTTTTTCCATTCCTCACGGGATACAAAGCAACTGAAGGATGATTGAACAAAAAAAAAGGATATAATGAACACCTCTTCCCGCACAATATGTTACAAATTCACCCTTACTTGGACCCTTGGCAGTACCTCCCTAGGACGAGGTGGCATGGAAGCTTCTATTTATACATGGAATTGTTTTACCACCTTTTACTACTAATTCACCATGGTTACAGCTATTTTAAATAGTGGACATTGAATGTAAAAACTGAAGCTACAACTGAACTGGGCAAAAGAACCAGAAAGCAAAAATTCACATAATTTAAAGCTCCCTAAAAATATGGGAGAACAATAAAAAATGTTGTCCAGTATCTAAACAATGATAGGGCAGGCACCAGCAACCTTCCCAAGAAAGGAAATTCCACAGGACAAGCACGACAGCTAAAATCTTATATTTGGGGGAGAGTATCAGCAAATGGCTACAATGGGGGTGGGGGGAGAGAGAGAGAGAGAGAGAGAGAGAGAGAGAGAATAAAGAGGTTTAAAAATTAGCTTCCTTGCCAGGCCTCAACTGAATAAATATAGATAGATGGTAAACATGTTATGGGTTGAGTAATTTCTGTAGATTTATTTGCCAGGCTGGCTTTTATATTACTTAGAACTGCCTATCTGTTGTGCAAAAGAAAACAGAATGAAACATCAACTCTCAGTTCAGTATACGGCTATGCATAATCAAATTCAATTAGCTCCAATGGAAGTGAAATATGAGTAGTTACACAAAGCAAGGGTCTAGCTTGTTTTCAGCAACATCAGAAGAGATTTTACATCTGCAAAACAGAAGACGCAAATCAAAACATTGCATACTACATTTAGCTTTGTAGGCTTAGAAGTTCTGGAGCACGTTTCAAGCAGGTTCTGAATTCAACCCACCTTGCAGCTCACTTTTAATAAGGCAACTCTCCATCATATACAGCAAGACCGTAACCATAATATCAAGCAGGTGGCATTCTTCTGTCACTTGACGTGCTAACTCCTCATTGCTGAATAGCTGGACACTTATGTGTACAATTCTGTTTGACATGGTATCAGATTCATGGCTTTTCTTCAGTGTTTTCATGATAAAAGCATAATGCTGTACAAACGTTTTAGTAAAAGCAATCTGCAAGGCATAACACAAACAAGTGAAATACAATTTGCTTTTCCTGCATCAGTTTCAATATTTAATCATTCATTGCAACTGTGAGCTAGCCACTAGGTAAAGCTCTTCACACAGTTCATAAAACAGACTGTAGGTGAATATAATAATGTAAAACCTAAAACAGATTATTAAAGACACAGAATAAAACCAAAGCAAGACCAACTGAACAGGATAACAGAAGTGCAAGTTGCAGAATCCTGTTAGGTTTTTTTTTTTACCAGTGCATATGTGAAAACACAGAAGTTGTAGTGGCTAACTGGATCTATCTAGCCAGCTGCCAGTCACAAGCCTGGTTGCATGCTAGTCATGCAACTGACACCCTGTTAATTAGCTTCAATCAGGTATGTCAACATCCACACTCTAGCACATAAAAAGTCAACAGAATCGTGGTCAAGGTAGTCTGCATACAACTCACTGCAATAATCCAACTCAGAGATGACAAGAGCACAAATAAATGTAGCAAGGTCTGCTGTGCAGATAGTAGGTTTTAGACTAATATAAAAGTACTGGTCCTCCCATAAGACTTTTATGATAACTTCCTCCTACATCACTGCAAACTTTATAATGGAGCACTGTGCTGGAGAAATAAGAAAATACATCAGTACCTTATAATCTTGATCAGGAAGCATGTTCAGTAAGAAAGTTACCATTTTCTGGGGAAATTCATATTTTATCATCCAAAATAATAATTCTTCTAGAAAACATTTATGCTTCAAAACATCCATGATGGACTGATCTGTGCAGAAATAAGAATTGAAATTGATGGTGACAAAGATGGAGACAGAACACCATCTAGCAATCTCACTTAAATCCAATTTGTAGTCACAACCAAAATACAAAGACTGAATCAATGGGATTTGCATATGTGCTGACTCACAATTTAGCAGCTAGTACAACAGGTATACTCTAGCTAAGACTAGAAACCAGACATAGGACTCTGATTTCACTAACAGTAAAACCCTGACACCATTTATTAAATCCTTTCCAGTGATACATAAAACCAAAAGATCTACAGCAGGGGTGGGGAATGTGTGGTCTTCCAGCTGAATCTGGACTACAAGTTTAACCAGTCCACCCAACACTACCAAAGGCTAAAGATGAAAGAAGTGATGTAAAACAGGACTTGAGGTCTCATCTCTGCTCTAGCATTTATGAATGCTATTTTGCGTTGAACAGAAAAATTAAATTAGACCAACTTAATTATTAAAAAATCCAAAGAATAATACTTCCAGAGATCTGTATAAGTAAGATTTCAGTACAAATCTTTGACTTTCTAAAGATCTTGCACAGTAATTACACATCCTGAACTTTGTTAAAATCAGGGGTTTTTAAACTCTTTTCTCCAAATTTAAAATATCAGTTGAAGAGTTAAACACAACTGCTGGGGAAAACATCGCGTTAACTCTTTTGGATCATTGCTTCTACTGAAAAGTTTTATGGTGAAATACAGATTCATCCGTCTATTTATCTAGACACACACACACACACACACACACACACACAATATTACATGTTAATTATAAACATACACACTGTGGCCTATGAACTGCTAACTTGTTCTTTGGTTACTTCTTTGGTGCATGGAGGCTCTTACCAACATTTCAGCTTCATCTAAATCTCAAAAATTTTGTTCAAAGTCGTGATCATCGAAGCCCAAGATCTCTCTTGAAGAAGATCTCTCTGACATTTAAAGTCCCAAGTACACTAATCTCTTCTCATAAAGCAAGAGAGAGTGGATACTGTTGAAGTCCAACAGTCTTAGCCATGATGAGCAAATGTTGAAGATAATGGGGGTTAGCATACGGCATCAAGAGGGCCACAGAGTGTCCACTGCATGTAATTCTTGCACTGATTTGGAAGTAGGAACTGCATTTTCAGAAATAAAGGGCATCGTTTAGTGCCGTACTAGTAAGCAGATGGGAAAAGCTTGTGTTTAATTACTGACAAAATACTGCCACATATAGATAGGGATTGCCCAGGTAACAAATGCCTTTCTCCTCAGCATCCTCTCCCACAGAGTGCAGCCAAACTCGCTTCCTGGTTTATTGGAGAGTTGGCGGGGATGAAATGAGTAGGATGGAGATCAGAGCAATGATGGCAGAGGACTCTGATTGCATACAATCAGACAGGTAAAGAGCCTAGCCTCTTTTCTGCACAGCCACTTAGAAGGGACAGCCTGCTGCGAAGAAACTGCATGGAACTTTGTGACATTATTCAGATGTGCTCTGACTTTGATACTGCAGTTGATGCAGGTCCAGTGAATGTAACCATAACTCTGTCTGCCCAATGCAAACAGGTAAGTTTCAGTCTCTACAGCCTAAGGATGTAGATAAGAACTTTGGAGAGGCAAGCGATCCCACATGTGTGCTGGACCCTTCCTGGCTCATAAAAGTAGCTGAGGGATATTGACCAAATGCCTAAGGACAGTGGTGAATGCTTCCTTGTAATAGAACTAGGTTTGAACATGTCCAGAAGAGACATTAGTAAGGCTACTACGTACTACTGCAGTTGAAAGAGCCCGCTTGAATCCCACCATACTAAATAACTATCAGCCAATATGGTTTCAGGACCAGCAATGAGACAAAAATAGCTTTTGGTTCTCTTGTGGACAACCAACACTGGGAAGTAGACAAAGGAGTGTGTTCTTGCTGGTTCTGCAGGACCACTTAGTGGCTTGATACCATTGACCACATTCCGTTTTCAATCCTAAGCAGGTCTGAGAGGCACTATTTTGCACTGGCTCTGGTCCTCACCAGAGGCATGAATTCAGAAAACAGTGCTGGGAAGACTCTTGTTCAAAACTACTCCACTGCTTTCTGAGCTCCCTCAGGACTCTGATCTGTCCCACATGCTATTCAGCATATACATAAAGCCTCTCAGAAAGATTATCTGGAGCTTTGGCCTTCAATGTCTCCAGTACGCGGATATCATTAAACTTTCTCTTTTCCACCCAAGATCAAGAAAAGTGTTTCATCTTGTGGCCTCTTTGGTAGAAGGTCCTCTGGGCAATGATTAAAAAGCAAAAAATAAATTTAACTTTTATAGAAAACATGAAGCTGGTTTGAACTGTCATGAGCACTGCCACAGTGCTTGAGGTAAGCAAAAAAGAAACAAATTAAAATTTTAAAATTAAGATGAATGAATTATTTCCAAGCTCTATTTCTGATACAAGGCTAAGTCCATATTAAGACCAGATTCTAACACAGCTAGAATTCCGAGGAAAGATACAGTAAGAAGACAAGATAGGAACACAGTGGAGCGAAAAGGGGGAAATGGAAGCAGCAGAATTCAAAAAGCAACCTTGTTGCAGAAATAGGATTCCTTACATTGTCTAAAACTCTTTAACTCTGCAACGTTATGTACCTCTCTACTCAGAAGTATATACCACTGAGTTCTGCTGGATATACTTTCAGGTATACATGCAGAAGATTACAGACTGATATTCCTCCTTCTCTACATCAGTGTGATGCTATCAACAAAATGACCACATATTATTACAATTTCAGCCATGTTATTGATTCCACTTCAGATTTATTTCCTCACGCTTTTGTTCCCCAAACTGTACTGAATGGCTAAACTTTTCGCGAGGAACCCTTTACCGGGGGAGAGGAGAGCAATCAATATAAACTAATAATATATTCCAAGTAAGTAAGCCGAAGCCTCTGATTTATGAAACAGCCTTATTAAGCTGAAAATAAGAATGAAAATATTTGGCTGAAAGAAGAAAAGCGGCAGCGGGTTTATCTTATCAGTCTGACTGAAAAGCGAAACCAAAGCTTCTTCAAGTGACTGTTTTATTCAAAAGGAAACTGATCGATGGGATCTATGGTATAAATGGCAGCAGTTACCAGACAGTGTTGGAGTAACATACAATAAAACTAAAATTAAATAAGATAAAAGCAGGAGGGTAATCAAACGGTGAAAAAGCAAAAAGTTGATTTGTATTTGTAATATGAATTAATTGGATGATGGTATATTTTATGTTCTCCTATCCCCTAAAACCTTTTTCCCTTTTCCCTATTCCCCCCTTATTTTCTGTACTCTCCATCCCTGTTCTTAAATAAATACTTAAAAATGAAAAAATGAAAAAAAAATAATGAGTAACCTTGATTTTATTTATATTCTTGATCTAAGTCCATATTAAGACCAGATTCTAACAGAACTTCAAAGCATTTCAGAATATTTTGGTGACAGATATCCATGTTTCTTTATATTGAAAAAGACAGACAGTGGGAGGCCGTCATGGAACAGGATTCTAAAATATTTTTACAAGGAGGGCTGATAATAATAAGTATAAGAACTTTGGAGAGGCAAGCGATCCCACATGTGTGCTGGACCCTTCCTGGCTCATAAAAGTAGCTGAGGGATATTGACCAAATGCCTAAGGACAGTGGTGAATGCTTCCTTGTAATAGAACTAGGTTTGAACATGTCCAGAAGAGACATTAGTAAGGCTACTACGTACTACTGCAGTTGAAAGAGCCTGCTTGAATCCCACCATACTAAATAACTATCAGCCAATATGGTTTCAGGACCAGCAATGAGACAAAAATAGCTTTTGGTTCTCTTGTGGACAACCAACACTGGGAAGTAGACAAAGGAGTGTGTTCTTGCTGGTTCTGCAGGACCACTTAGTGGCTTGATACCATTGACCACATTCCGTTTTCAATCCTAAGCAGGTCTGAGAGGCACTATTTTGCACTGGCTCTGGTCCTCACCAGAGGCATGAATTCAGAAAACAGTGCTGGGAAGACTCTTGTTCAAAACTACTCCACTGCTTTCTGAGCTCCCTCAGGACTCTGATCTGTCCCACATGCTATTCAGCATATACATAAAGCCTCTCAGAAAGATTATCTGGAGCTTTGGCCTTCAATGTCTCCAGTACGCGGATATCATTAAACTTTCTCTTTTCCACCCAAGATCAAGAAAAGTGTTTCATCTTGTGGCCTCTTTGGTAGAAGGTCCTCTGGGCAATGATTAAAAAGCAAAAAATAAATTTAACTTTTATAGAAAACATGAAGCTGGTTTGAACTGTCATGAGCACTGCCACAGTGCTTGAGGTAAGCAAAAAAGAAACAAATTAAAATTTTAAAATTAAGATGAATGAATTATTTCCAAGCTCTATTTCTGATACAAGGCTAAGTCCATATTAAGACCAGATTCTAACACAGCTAGAATTCCGAGGAAAGATACAGTAAGAAGACAAGATAGGAACACAGTGGAGCGAAAAGGGGGAAATGGAAGCAGCAGAATTCAAAAAGCAACCTTGTTGCAGAAATAGGATTCCTTACATTGTCTAAAACTCTTTAACTCTGCAACATTATGTACCTTTCTACTCAAAAGTATATACCACTGAGTTCTGCTGGATATACTTTCAGGTATACATGCAGAAGATTACAGACTGATATTCCTCCTTCTCTACATCAGTGTGATGCTATCAACAAAATGACCACATATTATTACAATTTCAGCCATGTTATTGATTCCACTTCAGATTTATTTCCTCACGCTTTTGTTCCCCAAACTGTACTGAATGGCTAAACTTTTCTCAGAATTCAAATTATCAGATTACCTTTCCTCCAAAAAAAACACCTCCCCACTTTGCAGTTTCTTAAAACAACTGCTTCTTTCCCATCTGCCAACAATTACATCCGCACCCACTCAACAGAAACACACCTAAAGCCTTATTTCAATAAGATTCTAGCCTTCCTCTCCAAACTCAACAGCACAGCAACTAAAGCAACCTGCGTTCAACATTTCACTTCAGATCTACCCTTTCTTCTCAGCCCTTACACATCCTACACTTTCATCATTATTTTCAATTCAAAATGTTCATCCGCCTTCTTGCTAGGAAATGCCAATCCTTTTCATTAAGCAACAAAAAGACCGTAATTAATGGCTGCTAATGATATAAATATGTTTTAGCAAGAATCATAAAGGAGAACAAAATACAAAATCATTCTTCTGTTTTGTTCCTATTCAAAGCACAAAAGCTTCTTTTTACCTATTAGAAGCAGTTAAAACATTTGTACTCAGTACCAAAATATCTGGATAGACAATTGCTGTAAATAACACTGCTTTATGAAATTATATGGGTCTTAGATCTGCTACAGCACACAAAAAATATGAAATGTAAAGGACAGATTTTTTCCCTTGCAGGTACCTCACTGCCTGCCCGTGGACCAGTTCCTTAATTCCTAATGGATTTCTGTTTCTCCTCATCAGTCCCTCCTGGAATATGAACATACATGTCCATTTGTCATATGAGAACATTATGGGGGACATACATATATTTTCCATAAACGGGAGCAAGCATGCCTGCACCATGCACCCGAAAGAGTGGTACAAGCTTATGCTTCTGGCCTGAATACAGAAGAAAAGTTCCACAGAGTCCTAGATAATGGAATCATGTACAGGGCTCCCATTCCTAGATATAGCTTGGGGGCCCTAGTGCCTATAACTGCACATGCACGTACGTGGAAAAGGAGATCTCTTAAGCTCTCTAGGAATCCATCCACATCCAGACACAATGCTTGCTTAGAGAAGGACAATATCCAGATCCTCAACAATCTATCTTCCTGCTTATATCAACTACATTGTAGCTACACCTATAAAATCTTACAGGTTTCAGATTTTAAGGCACCTTTTCACATATGGAATTGTATAAATTCTGAAAGTCTATTCAGTGTTTATTTAAAATTCAGCTTACACCTCAGCACATTATAAGGATACAGACACAATTACTACATGACAAGCAAGGCAGCAATTTTATTAATTTATTCACTTAGAGAAAGGATTCTATTAGTTAATTTCTCAGTCTTGGTTATTAAAGATAGCAAAATATAATTACCAAAATCTTACTGGTGTTTGTGGAGGCACTGGATAAGTTGTTGAGGCTAACTAGTGGAGTGCCAGGCATGTACTGGTCATGGGTCTGGTCAGGCACCTCAGCAACTAGAGGCAAAAATTATGTAACCCTTCTGTGAACACTACAAAGATGTGGACCGAACTATCCAACAATGATTTGCCACATACCTTTGCTGGTGCTGCTTAGTTTCACTCTCTTGCGCTTTCCCACACCTTGACTACCATCCTGGTCCTCCTGAGAGAGGGGAAGAGTTTGAGAGTGGATAAATGTCTTAATGTCAGAGACCTCATGCCCTGTAACTCTGATTTTGAAAGAACAATAAAACGGGAACTTAAAGCCCTGAAAACCTTTGATTACTGAAGCATGTTGTTACAAAGACAGTTTCAAAACTCTGACATTATGAACAATATATTCATCGTTAGAAAATATTTTACTATCCCTATTCAAGTTTGCTTCTGCTTCTAAAATAATCTTTATAAGCCAATAGTTTAAACAAATGGATGTTTCTTATCCTTGAGGGGATGTGATTCTACAGAAATTGTCTTCAAAGCCCTCTTGTGGTTAACAATTAAAACAGAAAGGCATAAACTGCGAGGCTAAATCTTCTAATCAATACAAAGGCTAGATTTAAATTCTCACATTTATCTTCTCATGTTTTACATTCAGTTACCTCCAAACCAAACATATCTATTTAAAACTGTTACATTTTAGATGCACTGAATTAGAATCCTCTGCATTTAGCAAGGACCATAATATCAGTTTAACTATAAAATGACTGTAAAACATTTCCAAGTTTAAAAAAAATCCCAAAGCATTTTCTAGCAGCTGATTTTTTATTCAGCCAAAAATTCACACAAGAACTTACTGATGTGGTTATCATAGGACATTTATATGATTCTTTCCTAGCTTCCCACTTTCCCTTTATGGCAACCATATATATAGTATAGCTACCCTTTACTGTCCTGGTGAATTTTAAAGTTAGAAATGAAGCTATAGTTAATCCATCAAACCTATGTCCTAATATGGGGCTTCTTGGCAACAGTAAACATGCCCAAAGGAGGCAACTCTGAACGGTCAACATCACAGCAGAAAGCGTGAACTGACACATACTTCACTAATGGGATCAAGGATGCTGCAACTGTCTCTTCCATAGACCAAGGCCTCTTGTTTGTTTGTTTGTTTGTTTGCTGCATTTCCCCTCTAAAGGATGCAGGGCAGCTCACAACAATTAAAACTGTACAATAACAAGCTTAAAATACTATACTAAACTACATATTTTTTAAAAAACCAAGTAAACATTAACTAAGATTAAAAGCAAATTTACAAACATTTTAAAATACCCAAATTTCATAAATAGAACATTCTCTGCCCCCCCCCACTTACTGCTTAAAAGCCTGCCTGAAAAGGTCAGTCTTCACCTAATGACAGACATCTCACGTGATATGCATCTTTATATATAATAGCTGCATTACAGATATACAGTGATGCGGAGGCAAATGAGGGCAAAGATAGATGAAATGTATCCATATTTTAAGAAAATAAGAAAATGGCTTCGTTTCACTTTTCTACATGTGTATAAGCAGAGGGACAAGATTTAGAAGCAAGGCACTGACATACATACAAAAGGTAAATTACTGAAGAATTTACTGGTATCTCAAGGTATCAGTTGTGTTTCTTTCAGATTATTTGTCCAGAAACCTTGAGCTAGGTGTGTAAAATACTAATTCACAGCTTCTGGATAAGATTACAATTGTGTTACTTCAGACCTGAAGTCTGATCTCTAATAGCCATGTGGTTTTGGAGGACTAATAGGCTTGTATATAATACGTATATTATATCTGTTGCAGAGAGAGAAATACACACGTAAGTTATTTGATCATTTATGTGCACTTAAATATTGCAAAGCCAAAATGAGATTTGGTTATTCCATCATATAAGCCACTATAAGATTCATTGCATGTACCTCTCCCTTAAGCACACATGCTTACTTCTAACGCTTTCAGCTATCTGTCTTGCACTAAAGTGAGAGTGTGCCTCTCTTTCCAAAAATCACAAATAGTAGCTCAGGTTGCCTGCAGCTGACAGTAACCCAGGCTGCCCCTACATTAAACTCCCTCCCAGAATGCCTCACTTTGTACATACTTGTCTAATGTCTCACCTTACATACACAGGACATATACAAGGCAAAGTTTAGTTGCTGAGGTATTTCTCAAGAGTGAGTAAAATATGAAAGAAATTGTACAAAGACAAGGTGTCCACTGAACATCTGTCTCATTAATTTAGAAAAATTATTTCAATAAAACTGTTTCTCTTTCTTTTTAAAAACTGTGAAAAGCATTGCATCAGTACTTCAGAAAATATCAGCTTAAAAACAGCAGTGCTATTCTGCAGTTTAGATGACCTAACTAGTAAACTGTTGCAGGCATAAACAAGTATGTATTTGGTTGTTGTGGGTTTTTCGGGCTCTGGCCATATTCTGAAGGTTGTTCTTCCTAACATTTCACCAGTCTCTGTGGCCGGCATCTTCAGAGGACAGCACTCTGTGCTCAAATATGTATTTGTCCTTCTGTACTACAGGAAATGCTCTGCAGGTATTGTAATATTTGCAACTATAAATGAAAACCTCTTTGTGGAAGCTTGCAAGTTATTCATTCCCTGAAGCTGAACTAAAATCAGAGGTGTTCCCAATGATCTGATTTATAACCCTCAAGCAGCAGTAACACTTTAAAAAGCACTCCAGTCAGGCAACTTTTGCAGCCACCTAACAAGCCAAAGTTTAGCTGCTGAAGTCTCTCTCCAGGGTGAGCAAAATAACAATAGAAAGCACCTGTCTACATGCTGTTCCATGTAAAAAGACGACAAGTATGGTAGGTTTGAAAAAGAAGGCAGGATGAATTATATGACAAAACATGCCCACATCATAAAAGTAAGGGAAAGGAGGCAGTAAAGTTATTGATTTACTGAGATACCCAGTGTCTTTACAATATACTGGAGCAAGATAATACAGCCTCATTCTTTGATGGACTAATATGGATTCATATGTATTTGCTTGGTTAAGATGAACTATAAACTCTTGTAGACCACTGACGCAGCAATATAATCCAGACATATTTTGAAAGATTGCTAAACACGACACATTCTTTTACAGTAACTGTCATGATTTTATTAAAATAATTTCTCTATGACATAGTCTGTTCTTTATCATAATAATCCCTTTCCTTGACAAACAGTAGGAAAATAGCACTTGGCCATATAAGTGTACCAAAAACTAGCAGACCATCTTGGTGCAATTTAAATACGTGGTGCTTTGCTGCTGATTTACATAGAAAGGGTATGAGTACATGTTCTGGTCCAGCAGCCAATAGTCCCTTTGCAGACTAGAACTAGAAGTAGCATGAAACTTTTCCCTTCCTCCCTTATTTGCTTCTCTCTCTTTTTTTTAACTAGACAGATTAACTATTTACAGGCAACAAGGTGTCAGGACAAAGTTTACCCAACAATGATCCTGCCACTGTTCTGCAAACTCTTGGGCTGAGAAAACTAAACATCTCTGAAGTGGGTCCTTTATTTTAAGCACTCTCTGCCTTTGCCCTAGGTTATATCACATCACTGCATTGTTCAAATTTTTAAAGACAGAATTAGGCTGTGGTCCTATATTTATTTAGCTAGAAATAAGCTCTTCCAAAACTTAATGGGACCTATTTCTGAGTAAATATACTTAGGATCCCATTAGCAGTAAATATTCTTTTCTGCAAATTCTTAGTAGAGGTATGTACAGGGGAGTGTACTCATTATTGCCATTACTAGTTCAGCCATACAAGAGTAATAAACAGAGGCAAAACATTTCAGCACAATACTGTAGTAATGAACTACTGTCCTTCTAGCATGTGTTATCTACAATACAATTCCCAGAGCTACTAAAACTAATTTGATGAAAACAAAATTAGCACCAGCTCTCCTACTTGGAGGAAAGTTGACAAGGACTAGCTCTGCAAGTACTGTACTGTATATGAAAAGCAACTTCAGTGTAACAAATTTCAATCTTGAAACAACTAATCTATTTGTTAGCAAAGATGAACAAGATGAGGTTTTAGAGTTGTTTGTTTTTTACACAAAAGTACATTTTATCTTAGTTCTAAAGAAGTCTCACCTCATCTGAAGAGTCACCTTGCCCTGAAGCTGGTGTAGCACCTGCAAAACCTTGTGAAATTAAAAATTAAAATATCCTTTACTATTCACACATAACTGGAGAAAGGTTTAAATTTGAGAGTTTTAGTTTTAAAAACAAAGCCCATGTATTTTCTTTCATGTAAACTCTGGGTTAATCATTCATGCAAAGACTGTGTTAGACCTAACATTGCTGGAAACAGAGATTTAGCAGGGAGATACTACATCTTTAATGTGATACGTGTGATTTTTGTATGGCACCTAGAAAATCAGAGGGAGCAGACTTCCAACTGGTGAAGTCAAATTCCATTTTTTACTAGACTTATGAAGGTTACCAACTGGAGCCAAATGAAATTAATAGTAGGAGGCAGAGACAGACACAACATGGTGACTGAGGACAGTGAAATCTACAACCTAAAGGATCTCATGAAAGATATACTGTACTGTCTGAAATCCAACAGCATAACGATATCAGCTGTGGTGGGGTTTTTAAAAATTAAACCCTTCTGATTCCCCTCTGAAGTTCCTGAGGTTTCTTTGGGATCCGTTGTATCGTGGCCACAGGATGGGGGCAGAGGGAGGAAGTCTTCAATTTCTGAAAATCACCAGTGCTAGTAATAGCAAGTTATGTCAGCAGCATTCTATAGCAAGGAGTTCCACAGCTGTGCAACTCAGAGTCCAAAACACATAATTTGCCCATGGATCAAATTAGTAGTTTGTTCAGGAATTTTACAACTGTAAGACAGTTAAACAACTGCAAGACAGTGTTTTTTCTGCTTTATTTCAAATACAGCAGTAAATCTTAATCCGTGTTCCACTTAGCCCTGGCATAGAATTTTGCACAAATGATTTTTGTTTTGTTGCTGAAATGCCATCTGAGCCATACTAACCATTTGGCAATTCAAAATGTTATAAATAGCAGTAATGGGAACTAATGTTTCTACAATATATTAATTTTCTGATGCAAGAATTTAGATACTGCTCAATTTTGGAAGCTAAGTAAAGGTTGCAATACATTTCTTCCTAGTACTTGCATGGTTTCAAGTTTACAGCATAAACCCCTTCACTTTAACATATCACAAAAATTAATATTGGGAAATCCTTTAATTTTTAAGACTAGGTCTTCAGTATACAGTATTTCTTGTTTACACAAACCTTGAACTACTGAAGCACTAGCTCCAGCTGCTTGCTCCTGTGCGCCACATGCAAATTTATCTTCAGGAAATATCAGTCCAGAGCCTTTCAGAGCTACAAGATACTTTTCATGACTTTTCTTCACACATGTGTTTTCTCCACCACCTTAAATACATTTCAAAGACAGAAGTTAACTTTAAGAAACGATGACGACAGTCCCAAACAAGTTTAAAACATTGAGTCACACAATAATTACATTATTTACTCAGAAGATGCACGAGATCTAGATAGTCTCCTTCAAGCAATGCTTTCAACATATAAATGCTGTATCTCTCTGGCTTTCAAATGGCAGTGCTTTGCCATGAGGAACTATGAAGAGTCTTGTAATATGTTTAAAATGAAAGCATTCTACTTGGTACAGCTTTTCACAGATGCAACCCATTTCAACAGTACAGGCTGTTGCTGCAACAGACTAACAGAGTCACACCCCTGGACGTTTCTGTTATAAGAGAAAATCTGATTACTTCTAGCCAATCTACAACTGCTACAAGTCAAACCATGAACTAAGTGTGAAACTGTGGTCAGATAATAAATACCACTCACAGACAAAATAAAATATAATAAAATCCCCCTGCTTATATTACTTTTTAAAATTAACAAAACTTTATTTTAGACAATCACATTACAAACAGATAATACAATTAACTATTCACCTTATGTACTAAATAACATTCTAAATACACTTAATCTCGAATCCCCGTTCCATCCTTGAAAGTTACCGACCAACAATCTGAGCAATCTAGGTTACTTCCTAAATCATGTGACCTCTCATTTAGTTCATAGGTGTATTTCAATAAAGGTTTCCAAGTTTCAAAAACCTGACTATGCTTTATTTCTCCTCTGTGTATTCTGATCTTATTGGTCAATTCCTCCATCAAGAGCATTTGTTATATCCTATCAAAAAATTTCTGTAATGAAAGATCTTGAGTATTTTCCAGCTTTTAGCAACCTGACATCTTGCCATCCCTATAATATTTGCAATTAGGTATTTATTACGTAGCTTCTCATTTCCCTCAGTAAATGCTGAAAATAATAGTAATGTTTCATTTGATCAGTCAGTATTTATGTCCAATTGATTCCATCATTCTAACATCTTGCCATCCCTATAATATTTGCAATAAGGTCTTTATTACGTAGCTTCTCCTTTCCCTCAGTAAATGCTGAAAACAATAGTAACGTTTCATTTGCTCAGTCAGTATTTTTGTCCAACTGATTCCATCATTCTGAAATGCTTCTATTTTGGAGGGGGAAATCCACATGTTCCAAAGTTCCCTTTCATCCACATTTTCTCTAACACTTATCCAAAGTTCCCTTTCGTCCACATTTTCTCTAACACTTTTCTGATGTATCCCTGTTGCTTTTAATGTAGCTTTGTTGGGCATAGATGTCATCTGTGAACAACTTTCAGAATCCTTTCTTTGGTTTTAGTTGTTATTGATTTACCGTATTTTTCCATTTATAAGATGACCCACCTCTTTTCTAACCCCAAATTAGAAAAAGCAGGGATCAAAGGGGCTCCCTTTTTGCTAAGCCCTGTGCCTTGGCAAAAGGCAAGGAAAGCGGCTGTCAAAGTGACTGGCGCTTTTCCTCGCCTTTTGAAAAGGCACCGAGTTTAGCAAAAAGGAAGAGAGCAACGCTTCCCCTTCCTTTCTGCTAAGCCCCATGCCTTTGCAAAAGGCAGCAGTAAAGAGCTGCCTTACATATATAAAACTACCCTCAATTTTTTCTCAAATTATTTAAGGAAAATGTGTTGTTTTATACATGGAAAAATACGGTACATGACTATTTATTCCATATTCCTGTCCAAATCTCATCAGGTTTATTAATATTTAAATTCATTTCCCAGGATGCTTTGGCTCCTCTACCCCTACCATGTTCTTTCTCAATAATATATTTATGTATTACTTTGTGATTTTATTTTTAGCATGCTTTTTATTCTTAAAGATTGAACTCTCACATGGTATCACTCATAATCAGAGATTTAATCTAGATCTTGAAATGAAGAGGAGAATACCGGCAAGACTGTATTCACTTGCAGCAAATTCTCTACTATTCTGTGAATTAGGCAGGTGAAAACTTGTAAAGGCTTTACATTATAGGCAGAGATAAAAGAAGAACATCAAACCAAGGGTTCAGAATAATGGAGGGTATAAGATTGAGCTAGATTTAACAATGAATATTCTGATACATCTTAAGATCAGAACAGCCCCATTACTCAAGTATCACATACGGAAAACAATCAAGATTTTTTTCTTGCAACTCTTGGTTTCATCAGAAAAGAAGATGAAACACAGTTGTATCTCCATCCTCTCCCACCTAAATGCCCAGCATCCCAAGAGTAACACTATAACCCATCTTTGTTGCTGTTCTCTCCAACCATTTAACACTGGGACTAGAAGCCACATAGCATTCCTGAACTCTTTATTTTCAAGCACTTTTGGGAAAGAGGGAATGCCTGCACAATGGAGAGCATACTGCTTTAATGTTCTTTCTTCTGACCCTTTAAAGCCAGTACAACAGGAGTGTGGGGGGGATTCTATATACACCCTCAGCTATCCCCAGGCCCCCAAGCTTCTTCTGTAAAAAAAACAAGTTCCTGGAAGCCTCCAGAATTCCTGATTCAACTTTTAAATAAGCTACGGGACTATTTGGTTTTATCATCATTATAATCACCACCTTCCAAAATTGAAAATGAACTTAACTTTTAGCCACTTCCTATTGAATTTTTGTGGTTTTGGAATTATTAGTGGTCTTGGGGCAGAAAACTGGGCCTCAGACCTGTCAGAATTGCTCCCCTGGCCTATAGAAAAGGTAATTGCAGGGGATGGGCAACCCACATTGCTGCTTCACCCCTGCTAGGAGGAAAGTGAGACTCATTTTTAAAACATAGATTTAGACAAAATAAAACGCCAGCTCACCAGAACTGAGGTCTTTATAGAACTGCTGATTTGTCAGGACCTGAGTCAGGACAGAACGCATTGCTCCTCCCATTTTTGTCAAATCTTCCAGAAATGAAATGTGGGGTTCCAGTGTCTGGAGGACTTTGTGGAGATCTTTTTCTGAAGGCATATCCAGAACTGATGGGGAAACCAAACAATCAGATTTAAGAGGATTCATCAAGTAGTTTTAATGATTTTGTAACTTCTCAATGATTATTCTTTCTTATCAAGATAACACCACTGGTCTTATTCTGCTGCCACAAGGAAAATACCATTACAATAATTAGAACATTAGCCCATACACCTTCTGATAATTACAGCACCTGTACAACGTAATTCCTGGTGATATTTTTCTAGATGGTTTTGGGAGATACAGATGATCTAGATCTTTTCCAGCCTAGGGCTCCTACCTGTCAAGACTTTGAACAAGTGTCTGCAGTTTTGTGGTGAATGAAGGCAAATGAACTGGAAGTTAATCCAGGAAAGATGGCAGCAATGTGAGAGAGAAAATCTGCAGATACTGATGGAAGTGTGTGACTTGTGCCAGCTATAGCTGCAACTTGGAAATTCTGCTAAACTCAACATAACCTACAGAAAGCTGCAAATGATATCAGTGGCTAGAAGTGCATTTTATCATGTTCGAGTGATTCACCACCTGCACTTCCAATAAAACAAGAATACATCAGTCAGTCATTTATGCCCTGAATACATCCAGACTAAACTATTATGATGCTTTTGGTGGGGAGCTGACTCATGACAGTCACACACACACTGGTAACATCTCGTATAGATTATTGCAATGCGCTCTACGTGGGGCTGCCTTTGAAGACGGTCCGACGACTGCAACTGGTCCAGAATCGAGCTGCGCGACTGGTGAGTGGTGGGGCCGCTAGAGAGCACATCAAGCCGATTCTGTTTAACTTACATTGGTTACCAGTTGCTGCCCGGGCCCAATTCAAAGTGCTTGTTTTGACATATAAAGCCCTAAACAGCTTGGGCCCTAGATACTTGAAGGACCGCCTCCTTCCATATGAGCCTACCCGGCAGTTAAGATCTAGCCAGGGGGCCCTTTTGAAAGAGCCATCCCTCGAGGAGGTAAGAGGGATGGCTTGTAGACAAAGGGCCTTCTTGGCAGCTGCCCCCAGATTATGGAACGCCCTCCCAATTGAAATTTGTCTGGCGCCGACGTTGATGACATTTCGGCGCCAGGTCAAAACCTTCCAGAAGGCTTTTAATTGAAATAACATCAACTGTGGGGCCTGATGATGGCAATTTTAATTGTATTTTAATTGTATGTTAATAATTTTATTTTTATTGTATGAATTAATTATTGTAAGCCGCCCAGAGACCTCTGGGTAGAGTGGGTGGCATATAAATTTAATTAATTAATTAAATAACATTCAGAAACTTCATTTGATGCTGCTTGAGAGAGCCAATCAATTGACCATATAACTCTGATACTGTACCAGCTCCACTGATTACTTGGGTGCCTTTGGCCCCAATCTGAAGTGTTATTTGTTATATCTCATGTCTTAAACAACTTGGACCCAGGTTATTGAAAGTGTGGTGAGCCTAAGGTCACAACCTCCACATCTGATTTTAAGAGTTCCATGCATGGGACAGAAAAGAAGAGAGGGCCTTCTCAGTAGTGGCCCCATTACTAGACAACTTCTTGTCAGAGGAAATATGTTTGGTCTGTTTTGTAAGTGAAGGCTGAAAATTACTGGTTGTTTACTTCTGCTGATAATTGATAATGGTTCTGGTTTAAGTTTTGAAATCCTAATTTTATCCATCACTCCTATATCCCTGCCAATTTTAGAATGAAGTTTTTAGATAAGTCTTACTGTGTAATTTGTACTTATTCTTTAACTTGCTTCATGATTATTTGACTGTGATCCATTCAGAAAGAAAGCAAATGGGACCTTGACTAAACAGTATTAAAATATCCAAAATATCAGGATAAATAATAAATCAATAATGATTAAACTCTTCAGCCATCTGTTTCTCCTTGTATTTAAAAAGGACTCAAGGCTATTCAACTTCCCATATCACAGCGGTTTCATTCTCTTGACTTCTGACATTATAAATTCATTACCCAAGCACCTTCTACTCTTTCACACAATTGCTATCATCACCTATACTTTAGTAGTCACCGTTAGAACTTTTTCCACTCATTTTTCCCTTCTGTTGAGAGTAACTGAAGCCACCACAACATACTCTTAAACGGGAACCTCTAGAGAATGGTAATCCACTACTTATTTGAAAATTCTACGGTCCTCAAAAACCAAAGCAAACACATCTTTTAAAAAACTATTTCTGTTGCTGATGCAAGTTATAAGGCTAGTAAAAAAAACAATGATTTCACCCATACCTGGCTCATTATAACCTTCCCTTAGGTACTGAATAAGATAGAAGATGAACTGTGGAAGTACCAGTTCTGACATTATCAGCAGGTCTTTTGGGACGGATGGAACTTCTGAGCTTGATTTTATCCGATGCCTTTTGCAAAACCTGCAAAGAAAGTTACAGAAAGTTAAAGTAATTGCCAGATGCCTAACAGAAAATTTTTAATTTTCTATACCATAGAATATACTATGCATGTCTCAAATCAATCCTTAGCAAGCTATAAATTACGTTTTACTTATCAACTAGCCTGTTCTGTTTTATGTACAACTTACAAAATTAGTGAGGGTGATAGCATACCTACAACTGCAAACGCACGGCAACATATTATAGAAGAAATACTCCTATCTTTATTAAGATCTGATGTAAATGAAAAAATATATATACTAGCTTTTGCATTCTCTATAGCTCTTCATGAGACTACATGGCAAAAAAAATGCAGAGAAAGAACGGAGGGGGGGGGGGAAGCATGGAAGTCTGACTGTTCGGCTAGGTGTTTGAAGCCATGGAAAACTGCTGTCAAATCCAGTCCCAAGCTAGAAAGTAAAGTTGGATGAGTCACATAAGTACCACCTGACCTCTGGCAAAGTCTAGCAACCAGGAGATAACAAAGAGATTTTCTTGTTTCTGCAAACATAAAAGCAAGTACATCTGCATCCAGCTGGGGGTACAAACATACAGCTTTCTTGAGAGCGGCTAAAAGCCATGTAAAGATTTTTAGCCATTTACAATTGATTCTAATAAAGGTGTTACCGAACTGTTAATTATATACAGTATTTTGTTTTCTACCTCATACTTTTTTTGGAATTCTTATCCACAGGTTATTGGAAAGGATGTCACAAAGAACTCAACAGTCAAATGTTCTCACACATTTCTGACTGGCAGTTCTTTGTAAAGCAAAAAGAAAAAAATTTGAAGATCAAGTTTTTGTTTTTGTTTAATGTTTAGTAAAAGACTAAAGCTTAGGGGCTAGCAGAAACCTTGCTCTCTTTTTCAATTTGAATTGTCATTACAATGTCTAACATGTTCATTATCTACATCTCATTGTTTGACTTTCAACAGGCTTTGTTTTGGAACAATTATTTGCTCTTCAAGCAAATCTTCAGTGATTGTAAGGAACATAAAATTCGTCCCAATTTTACATGTTTTAAGCATGCTACTGTCATCCTCACTTAATCACAACATGTGTCTTTTGTATATTACATATTCAAGCTTCCATCTATAAAGTTTCTTAATGGTTTCAAAATTGGTTTATAAGGGGGTCAAACCCTTCCCTTCCACCAAGAAAATGCACCCACAGGATCCTCTCACTAGAAGAAGAAGAAGAAGAGAAGTAATCTCCATTAAGTTCTCCTCTCACCCTGTTATGAAAGACTGGAGGGACCCTTTAGAAAAACCTTCTAAGAAGCAAATGGGGCAGGAGTTAACTGGTTAAATAAACACTCTATCCTCCCATTCCAGCACTGAATCTACAGTGGACTTGAGTCCTTGTAACAAAAAGAAGGAAGGATTCAATTTGTGAAAGGTTAAGTGTGGCCCCAACCAAGATTAGTCACTCATCATTACACTCAACATACTACTCTCTCACAATAAATAAACAAATAAACACACACACACACGCAAACACACACACACACAGAGGTATGCAATTCACTTTGCACACTGTAATATGAAGCCAAGTGGCAGCACTATTACAGGTATGCTACGTGGCCAATGAAACTAAACTTGCACAGAGACCTGACATCCATATAGAAATGAACTGATTTTTTTCAAAAACCCTGTGACTGTCATTTGTACACAAGAAAGAAAACTCCAATTTTGGGCACACAAAGACCAGTGGACTTAATGGGCTTACTCCTGAATAAGCACACATAAGTCTGGTCTGCTGGTCTGAAGGTCATTATAGACTGAAATGAGGGCTGTGTCTTGTCAACATTTGAAATTTTGCATTCATAAGGTATCAAAAATGATTAAAGGACGTGTAGAAAAAGTTGCCCTGAAAATTAAAATATGGTTTAAATGTTCATCCAGGAAAATTGTTCAAATTGGCTATATAGTAGGACTCTTCTATCTTCTAGATCAACATCTGTGGATTCACTTATCCGCTGCTTGAAGATATTTTTTTTAAAAATCCCAGAAATAAATATTTATATGTATTTCTGTATTTCCATACATATAAATTTACCAGAACTAGCCACCAAAGTGAGTCAGAGACAATGCTATGTATTGCATAACTACTTTTGAGTTTTTCTGTATCCACGGGCGGGGCGGGGAGTTGGAACTAATCCCCCACAGATATCACAGTCCTACTGTAGTTGTTTTCAGCAGCTTTCCAGCTAAGCCTAAGAACAAGATCAATGATACGCTAACACTGCGTTGAATAATTTCATTCATGTCTATCAGTTTAGTGTGGAAGTCAGTTCAAGAAAGCAAAGGATGTAATGAGATGAATGGAGTTGTTCAGATGTAGAAAATAGGAAAATGGTGTTTGCCAGTCCAATAGGACACCCTACTGGTAATCATAACAGTATATTTTAACATTGATTTAGAATCCCGAGCCCTGTTGGTGTAAGAGCTTAGAACTGCAGGTTATTGGAGGTCAAGAGATAAGAAAAACCAACAGTTAAAAAAATCAAAACCATAATAATGAAATTGCTGACCCCTAGAGCCAAAAGACTACAAGTACTACAATAGAATGTTCTATTTAAAAAAAACTTACAGGACTTTCAGGACCTGAGAACATGTAAATCCTGGAGATAAGAATGTTTACAGAAAGAGAGGATGTGAAAACAATTTAAATAGTTATAAATATGGAGTGATACAATTCATAAAAGCAGGGCATTCATTCATCATAAAGTGTCTCCACACTGCTGTAGTACAGCAGCTGTATACACACCCCAGATATCAACAACCACCATGTAGCAAAGCAGCCGGATACAGAGGCAACTCACAAACATGATGGATTTTGTTCCATAGACTTTAACTGGGTTGACTGGGATCAGCACTTAAAACATTTTTCTGTATGTGTCCAATAATGTGCTTAGAATCTGAAAAAGTTGTGTTCTTTAATATATTTTAACTTTCAACATCTTCCTTTTTAATATGCTTTTCAAGTACTGTACAACTAAAGATAAAGTTACAATGTTTTTACTTTTCACTAATGTTTGATAGAAGTATTCTCTTTTGCTGTTTAAATGTGCCTTTTTATACTATAAGGTCTTGCATACTTAAAATTTAATTTAAAACATTATTTTTTATTTTTTCATTTACTTTTGCACCTGTACTGTATTTTGGATTGAATTTTGACTTAAGTATTTGCCCACAAATTAGTTCAGTTTTCATATTTTAAAAAAAAATAATTGTGCCTACTGCTTTTCCCATAGCTGTAAGAGTGTCTTCAAGCCATTTGAGCTTGTGACCCTTTGAAGTATTTTGTCTTTATGGAATCTAGAAGCAATGTAGATAAATAAAGCTAGAAACAGGTAAGCTACTGTAATGTTGCCTGGAATTATTACAACAGTGTAAATACGTATAATTTGATAGATGAATTTTGACATGATTGTTAGTGATTGTGTGGTTTCATTCTTGAATTAAACCTTTATCAGAATAAATGATGATACACAGGCTTCTGATTTTTCCTTGGGTGTACTACATTTCTGTAGTACTCTTAGAGACTATCATGTATCAGTTCTCTGATTTGACAGTCAAGTCAAACTGAGAAGCCTGTACAAATTAATAAAATTGCATGTATAAACTTATTTTGCATAACTTTTTTTCCACTACCTTGTTTCCCCGAAAATAAGACCTAACCTGAAAATAAGCCCCAGTATGAGTTTTCAGGCTGCTCATAATACATAATATAAGTCCTACCCCAAAAATAAGCCCCAGTAAAGTGAAACCCTGCCCTCCACCACTGTGCAGCAACCAGAAGATGACATGACTGCATTTGAATAAATGTAGATTGTTGTACATGAAAAAAAAAATCTCCTGAAAATAAGCCCTAATGCGTTTTTGGTGCAAAAATTAATAGAAGACCCTGTCTTATTTTCAGGGAAACACAGTAATTACAGATAATTACAGAAATGGTCAAATAGCTTTATCTGCAAAGCCCAGGGGGAAAAAACTCTCAAACTGTTTACATCAAGAACAGTTGGAAACCTAATTTTTCTTTAATTAAACCTAACATTTTTCTGAACTCTGCACACAAACCAAATTGCATGGAATCACAGAATACACATGACTGAAAATTCATGAGCTAATGCTTTTCTCTCTCATTAAATTAATCAACCTGCAATACAGAGTTCATGAAAAAATTACACAGGATCTTTTTCACAGTAGTACCATGGTTATTTCTTCTCTCCCAGAAAAGTATGTTGCCTCCATCTCCAATTGCTTCTCTATGGGAGGTGAAAACATTTTTATTTTATTCTTCAACAGTATTATTTTTTACACTAAAATGTGTTATTTTCCTTTCCTTTAGGGAATTTTATCTCATTAAATAACTAGTGTTCCTCTGACTCTAGCTCTGCACAAGCTTTTGAAATGGCTGCACTTTTCATCTGTTATAGTGTTCAAAAACGTTATTAGATATGGTTGTCCCTTGCAATTCTCTTTATACTTACCAAGTAATGCAAAATTATTCCATACAATTTAGAAAAGACAGATTAAAAGGTTTTAAAACCCCTCTTTTTTGTCGTGGTTGACTCATACACTTGCTACATAGCCATCTGTACCAGCTTCTTAAAACTAAGAGGACAAACTACGGCGAGATCTTGCAGTACTTTTTAGAACACCTGCAGCACAGGGACATTTCTAGCTATAAAAACCAGAACAGAGACAGAGCTATCACTTCGAAATAAGTAAAAGAGAAAGCAGGTTGGATGGCTGTTATATAATGACTATAAATATTGAAAATACAGGTCTGGTGCTAAACCGAAATTCTTCTAAAATAACACAAAATTCAACATAAAATGAAATCAGACCATTTGCAGATATTTTAGTATGTTTATAAGAAAAATGGGTACAATGGCTCAACAGCACCAAAAAACTTCAGCATCCAAGACTACCCATCTAGCAGCAAAGAACACCACACAAGAATAGCAA